AGGAAGCGAGGCGGGCATTTTATCACGTTTGATATTTGAGCGCGTGTATCATTTTTACGAGGGGAAACTTCTCTCAAAGAATAGCGGGAAAAACACTTAGCACCCTCTGAGAAGAACACGCGTTGTACGTGCACACATGTAAAAGTGGGCACGCGACACGATGGGAAAAGGCGGGGTCATTAATTGCGCTTTGTGAGGCTCGCACAAAGCGGGATCAGGCACGATTCATCGCTTAATGTAAGCGGTATACCAGCCTATACAGGATACTCTCAAACGGGCCGCAAGAAAAAACGTTTTTCACGATGTATTGTGTACAAACTGACACACATGTACTCGCGACGAACGGATAGAAGCACGTGCGAGAATTATGGCGCAACTTGAGAGGAAGTTTTCCCGTTGTGGAACTTTACGAAGCTTGCAATATCTCGGCTGCAATATGTTTTATATTGTATTGCAGTGAGAGAGAGAGAGAGAAAAGATAGTTTCGAAGTTATTTCTTAATCTCCCGATTATATATCACGCGGAAGATAAATATTCTTGGCCAGGCTTACCTAGTTTCTAACTTTCCGTTCAATTTAGTGATAGAAATGCACAGCGGAGTCCGATAATTCCTACGGATATCGATTGCGTCTATCGCGACTACGTGCAAAAAATATTACTTGAACTTTAGTAACTTTATATTTATTTGCGATTAGAAAAGCACAGTAATTTTAAAATTTAATCTACTAATTTTATTGGCAATATCGTAGAAAAAAAATAATATCGTTCATGTTTTATCAAGAAATTTCTTTTTATATTTTATTACTTCATATTTAAAAGATTCTGCACAAAATTAGATTCTCCACAAAAGCAGATTTTTCTATCATAAAATGATTATATAAGTCCTACCAGTATAATTGGATTATAAATTTGAAAAAAGAGCCGCATCGAGAGATATTACGTTACATATCAAATTTCATTAACAAATTGAAAATTCCAGCTTTGATAGGAGGAAAAATTTGAATCAATGAATATAATCTATTGCATATTCAATCTCGAATATTTTCGAAAATATTGCTTGCATATGGTGGAAATACAAATATACATATATGTATGCATAAACATATAGCCATACTTTCCATAAATATTATGACGTATAATAACCAGCATTAAATTATTATTGGAATAGAATATTATATAACAGCGCGTCTAAATTTTATTCTTCTTCTGACCATTATAAACTAAAAATTTATATAAATAAGTATATAATAAAATTAATATAGATATATTCTCTCTATATAAAACATACCCATCCGTAAAATATTAAAATAAATATCTGAGCATTCTGTAAAAACTAAGAAATATCAAACTTACATTTTATTCTTAAATTGTTCGAGAAAGAAAAGAAAGAGAAGATTCTGCGCTCCCAAAAATTAAATAATGATAATAAAAATTTAATAATAATAATATCAAAAATTACTCATTTATAATTATCGGAAAAAAGGCGTTTAAAATGAAAAACGCAAAACGATAGAAACGTCGTATACGACCACGTCAGACCGCTTCCGGAATACTCTGCGGACCACGTAAGGCCACAGAGACGATCGATTCCCCAGACATTCAGTATGCCGACCATATGCTTGCTGGCTTCGCCGTTGCCAGCAGCGTAACCTTTGCGCGCACACCCGTTCATACCGCGCATTAATTAGAGAGAGAGAGAAGCAATTACAGTCGAACGCGAGGTTACGCAGGCATGCGGGCGCCAACACGACTAATTATCCGGCAAGACACGTGCTTGCCTTTTGATTCGCGAAAGAAATTCGATTTGTCGAACACGCGATCGGATCGATCTCGGTTGATCATAATATTCAAGAAAATTTATTTAGCATTTTTTATATTTGGGATTACTTATAAAGCAACACATTATTTTTTACGCGATATAGTGGCTCTTTAAATATATTATTTATTGAATATATTATTTATTGCTTTATATAATAATATAAAAGAATAAATAATAAAATTATATAATAATATATACTTTTTTTTATAAAAATATATAATGAATTTTAATTGCATAATAAAACTTCTTAATGTGTTATTTTATTATAAATTATGTTTTTGCGTTCTAATGATTATTAATAATATTATACCACTCTTCCTTTTGAACTATTTAAAATTGTGATATAATCGGTTTAGCAATTTTCTCAATTTCTTAATGGTAATCACAAAATTCCGATCGCAAAGTTCGGTCATCTGCGCAGCTCGTTTATTTCGCTCGTGAGATAAAATTTAAACGCCTCCGATAAGAAGAAATATATCAAGTCTCATCCCCATACTAAATAAATCACACTTTGAAACGCCTCTTCGATTTATCAAGCTTGTCATTTATCATTCTGTGTATTTTCGTAATAGATATTAATCATTTACGTTGCTTTTCTTAAAGTTATTATATAAAAGATTTTTTCTTAGCTTTAGAAGAAAACAACGATACTGTATCAAAATAACGATTTAGAAAAAGTAACGATAGAATTTTTCGGGACAGGCGCATGAACTATCCTATTAAATTCAAGCGTCCTTGATAAGGTATAAGGCTGGGTGTGCAACACAATATAAGGCCCGCATCCAGAAGCATGTGCAAACAATCGCTTTCCTGGACTCCCTCTCATTCGATTCGGAGAATAGGGGGGAAGAGCTAAAGAAAGAGAGAGGTTCCAGGGCGTGGTAAAGGCGAGTCTCGATCTCGGCTGAAGCCGCGAGTCACTTTGCTCCGCGGGCTCGTGCGCGCGGCCTTCTCTGAGAGCTTCAAGGACGGCGAAACGCATCGCCGGCCCGAATGCCGCCGAGGGGAAGAATCCGGCAAGGTCGACCGGCAACGTATTCTATTTCTTCCACTTGGATTTTTTTAATCGCGTCCGTGCGGACGAAAATAATTGAACGATAAACGCGACGATGAGCATCACGCGTTTGTTCGCACCTGGCTTTCAAAGTAGAAATTTAACGATTAAGAGCCCAATTTTATCGAATATATAAAAAAGAATGTAATTAAAAATTAATTATTAAATTATTCCAATTATTCTTAATCGCGAAATAATTAAATGAAAGACTTCTAAGATTAATTATTATAAAAAAAAATTCCATATTAAATATCAAATAAAAACATTCGATTTTTTTATCTATACTTTTGCGATTATATATAAGAACACACGTGTGTTATTTATATCGCGCTGCATATTTCGACATCGTGAAAATTTGCACGGGAGATAAAACTGTCTCCACTAGATATAATGGACGTTTGGGGTCCATATTAATATCGACAAATAATTTAATGCACCGATAATCCCGTGCATTCCGCGATGCATCTCATCGACGGTACCGCTGCACTCTGTTCATTATACGCTGCGCATTAAATTTATACGTGCGTTCCTCGCACTCGCTCGTTTATTAAATCCTTATCGGCATTCGTCGTCGCTATTTCAGTATAGCATCTTCGGCATCTTTTTTTTTCCCAGTTATATGCCGCGCGAATTCCCAGACCGCCCTCGATCCTTTCCCCCTTTTCCCCCGCTCCTTTTATCTCCCTCTATTCTTTTCATCTTCTTTTTCTCGTCTCTTTGTTTTTCGTCCACTCGCGATTTGCTTTGCACTAGAGATGCCCGATGCTTTCTTCTTTAAATCAGATATGCCTTCCGATTAATGAATTTATTGATGCCTTTTATTCGATATTTTTATCTTATTCTTAGATATCGCGTTCTAGATGCGTTTGTTATGTTTATAGTTTATCTTGTGCTTTTCTCTTTCGAAAGCTGCATCTTAGCATCTTTTTCTATCCATTAGATATATTACATATAAACTATAAACTATAAACGGAAAGAAAAAATTCAAGATGAAAAAAGATTATCTTATCTAGATTATTTTATCTAATCTCTATTTTTTCTTTCCAATATTCAATATTCTGTGTCTCAAATTATTGCTTCGATTTTTTTCTTCGTTTCTTCGTTTCTACTCTGCAATCAAGAGTGACGCGACCATGAGTGTCAAATTTAGCCTGCGAGGATGCAATGTAACATGTGATGCATCGCACGTGAATGTATGTCAGGTGATGATTCAGGGGTCGTTACTGAGATAAGAGGTTAAATACATAGTGCTATAGTGGAGCAAATATCTTTGTTTATTTATAATCTCTTCACTAAAGTAAATAAACGAACGGTAACACTTCCGGATAACTGCAAGCGTTTTCATTTAACGATGAATCACGTTTAATGCTGATCATGAGTATACGATAAAAATTGATTGACATAATCTAGCGTAATCTTGTTTTTTATTTTTTCTATTGATAAAACTAATAACTTGTTTTTTCGATTGTTAAAATAATTTTTTTAAAAGAATGAAATGCATCTCAAAAATCTTAAAATTATATTTCTACGCCATATGTATTAATATCCCAATCCTATAATTAAATTATGATTGAAAAGCGGAAAAGACTCATCATAATTTAGTTTAATATTAAACGGGAAAATATATTTAAAATTTAATTAATCTATGTATTCTTTATAATTATAAGTCAAATGTATAAAATCTCTATAATTAAGATTTCAATTAGAAAAGCTTGAAGATTATGTGCGATTATCGAAAACATTCTTTTAATCGAAAACTTTAGGATCTAATTACACATTACAATTTTAAAATATATTAAATAAAAATATATTTGTAGTGTATTATTCAAGTAAATTAAAAAAAATTAATTAAAATACAATATATTATCTAAATAAATTTAAAAATTATCAGTTCTTAACAAAATCTCAAAACTAATTGTTTATATTGGAACATATCTTTAAATATATTTTATATTTATATCGCGTTCGCGTTCATTCTTTACGTAAACATTTTTTTAAATGCCACACCCTATTATAACAGCCTGGTTCAAAAGCTTCGCAAATGTGATTTAAGAAATCATCATTTTAGATTTAAGATTGCGAACGTTATAAATAACGTTATAAATATTATCACTGTTTCTGTTTCAGACCTTGGACTTTGATAGAGATGGTCTCACGAAGCTTAAAAAGGCTATCAAGGCTATCCATAATTCTGGAAATGGTAAGTCAAATATCATTATCAATTTTTACGTAACTTGATTCTCGATTGTTAAAAACAATTTTCTCTTGAAAGAGAAAATGAACTTGCATCTCATTGTCAGATTAGAAACAATCACCATAACAAATCGAAGCTATAAAATTATATTTCTACGCTATATATATGTATTAGGCGTATCCGAATCTTTAAATCTCTATAATTAAATTCTTAGAGCAGATTCTTTGATTAAATTTCATTTAATTTTTTTAACTTTATTAGTTTTCTTAATTCTTTTTTATTCCATTTTATGGAAATGGACATCACCTGAATAAACTAGAATTTTCGAAGAAGTTAGCTTCGATTATTCTGATGATACAGGCGATGAACAAGTCTCCCGTATCACGGCCATTTATTTATATTGTGGGACATTAGATTCTCATGGGTATTGAATGTCATTATCAGCTCGGATAATAGCAATTTAATCATTCAATAAATCTATGATTATTAGTGATACTTACTACATATTAGTTGCGATAAGCAATAACCGTGAGATATACTCGTACATACCTATCTTTTTATATACTAAATGTGAGAAATTTCTCTGAATCAGAAAACTAATTTTGGCATAAAATTAAAAATTGGCGAGAAAACATTTTATATTGATACTACAATATAAAAATTAATATAATATCTATCTAAATTTTCTAACAAATTAAAAAATATATATATTTATAAATATTTTTATATTTGTACAAGCATTTAAAATTAATATTTAATATTTAATATTTAATTAATTTATAATTGACGATTTCGAACTCCTCCATATTCTTATAAAAATTAATGAAATAATAAATCAATAAGAATTCCTTTGCGAGATATAAAAGTATGTTCGAAACGATTGGGGCGTTTACTTGTCCAATAACTTTTTTGATCGCCTCGAGTGAACGTAATTTAACGTATATTATGTTCTAATTCTATGGGTGGTGGTCTGGATTTTTTATTGCTTTCGAATGGGGAAGTCTTGTCGAGGTTAACATCCGAAAGGTCTATAGACTCAAACTGAACTGTGTGCACTGACTTTTACGAGTCGAGTTTGCCGGCTTTCTGCCACTTCTCCATCGCAGACAGATCGATTTCTCTGGCGCCCCTTTTGTTTCCTCGGGGCCAAGCCATCCTGCGGGAGAGTCTTGGAGCTTATATTCCGAATACTTCGCATTCTGGATTCTGCGATCGGCATCTTTACGACTGTAGTTATATTCACGCCCTCAGTCTATAAACGAACGGACGATCGATAACGTGTCGTTGATAACGTCGACATATCACAAGCTGCATTGCACGCAAAATACATCGCAGTTATATTAGCCTGTGTCATAAAAATATACACGATATGTGATTTGACATGTTAAATCGCTAAAGTTCTTTAAAATATTTATGTAATATTTTTAATTAATATTTTCAATTAATTAAAAGTTGAAAAGATAAATTAAAAGTATGTTATTAAAAACAAAGTGTGTCAAAAATGACACACTGATGATTGTTATACTCATTTTTGAAGAAGTTGGTAGACGTACACGGTCATGAGAAACGATATTTCAGCCAGCATTATAAAATCATTATGACAATGTTTTTAACGAGTTTGAAAAGTATATTATTTCTCGTGTAAACGTTTAACATTTTTTTTTTTGCTTATTGGAGCAGGTAAATGTCGGAGAGCGCGTTAAACTGATGTAACTTAATGTGAACATCGAAGTTACGAGACTTTGTTGTCGAGCTTCATATTATTATTTATCATGCACGCGCTAACGTTCTACGCGCATGTTAAATATACTTATTTATAAGTTTCATAGTTATGAAAGGATTACAACATAGGTTGAATAATCTTGCATCATCCTCAGTCCTGTTACAAGAATAACAAGAGTAATGCATCGTACACATTCTAAATTATTAGATCGAAATAATAATATAATTATAATTAATGATTATACAAATATATTTATTAATAATTGTGAATATTATGATTATATAATATATTTGACGTCATCTTTTGTACTTTAATTTTCACGAATTAAAATTTGATATTATATTTTACCATAAAAATGTGCTTTACATTAGCAAAAAATAGTGGATCTTGATGAGAGATCCTGACTTGAGTGTTTCTCTAACAAGAATAAAGCGGCAACGCGTGTCGAGCGTTAGTCGCGAGACTAATGAGAGATTAAAACGACGTTTCCTTTCCTCGGATCGATAACGCTCGTGTTATTTCGCGAAAGTTGCATGCTCAGGCCTCTCCTTCCACAGCGAACAATCGCTCTTTCGTTATCCTATTCTATATATATATAATATATTTTCATTTAAAACAGTTTCACGCGCACGTGTTTCTTTTTCCTTTCTCCTAAAATTATTTTAAAAAATCATAACTTAAAGTTACGTTATATTTTCGTAAATCATGCCGAAGAAATGTATATATTTAGATTGGCATGAGCTACATATGTTCGTACGAGACCAAATAGTTTTATGAAAATAAATATGTCTAGTATGAAATAAATTTGAATAAAAGAACGTAATTTAAATCGACCATGGGTTTTGGGACACTGGCAATTTATTGATTGGTAAAGTATCACAACGTTTCGATCATGGGTTTTTAATCCAAGTGAAAGTGTCTTAGTTAACCAATATATTGTGAGAAAAGAGGAAATCACAGGATTCCGTCATATCAACCTCTCGATCAAACACAAAGAAAAAGACTGTCTTTTCGGAATATGATACTTTATCAATCAATAAATTGCCAGTGTGGTCGATTTAAATTACGTTCTTTTATTTTTTCTACTGGCGACATTCAAGAATTAAATTTGAATAAGCATGTCTCTGAGACATTGTCCTTTGTGAACTGAATTTTGAATTACGGATCTTTCGTGACGCAACGAGTAGATAGCCGAGCAAAATTGCTTCCTCAGGTCGCGAAATGTCGCTGAAAACCCTATAACTACGTGGTAAGATTCTGCTGTAATTGTCAGGAGCCGCGGATGGCTTGTAATTATATAGCATAATGGGAAGATGCCTCGTGAGAGGCTAGTATTATGAAATTGTTTTTTGATGAGAGCTTTTATTCTTGTCTTATTCCCTAACTGGGACGCGATAATAATACATATGCATAGTATTTCTCATTAAATAATAATTATTACGTGTCAGTTTATTTGCTTTTGATTAATTTCATTTAGAAAATAATTATCATTTATTAATAATATGAAATAAGCAACGCCTATTTTTTACGAAATTAATACATAATTCACTCATGATATTATATTGTTAATTAAAAGCGATAATAGGCATATAGATTAGATGTTAATTATTAAATATTACTCGATATTAATATTTAATATTTATACTTTGTAATTTTTATAATTTATCGATGTTACTATGAAATCTCTATAATAAAATCATATTTTTGTAAACAATAAAAAGCGAAATTTATCAAAATATGCGACAATATTTTTATCGATGAAAAAGATTGAAAAAAATATCTTTTTTATATAAAAAATGTTTTATCTTATAAAGTTATAAAAACAAATATTCAATTTCAATTTAAATATATAAATTTCAAAAAACTAAAAACAATTTTTAATCGTTTAACAATTAAATAGTGTCTTTTAAATAATGTCTTCTTTGTTTCCTTTAAATAATATCTTCCATGTTAGCATTACTTTGTCCTTAACTTAATCCTTCCGCAATCTCTTCATGACATCCCCACGTCACGAAGGCTCTCATCTTCGCCGTGTGCTTCATTAGCTTGTAATTACCCGGAGCTTGTTAATTGTCATCTTATCTGCGGCATCACTATCACTTATCTTGTTTAAAAAAAATTGTTACATATTATATGTGTAAGTAATCTTTTAAAAATAAATTAAATATTGCATAACAATATAATTTTATGATATATGAAATGAAAATAAACTGCGTGCGCAACAATGCATAATTATTCAATTCATGTTTACTTTTTTATAAAAGTCAAATAAAAAAGGAGTAAATATATTTCTTCAAAAAATATTTGTTTTTATTTAAATTATATAAAATAGTCACATTCGCTAATGATTATATTATCTTAATATCTTTTTATTACAATCATTAGGGATTAATTATTACGATCGATAAATTTATAATTTTTAGATATTATAACATTTATATAAATATCAATATTTTATAATATTTGCATAAATATCAATATTTAAATAAATATCATATTTAACAATAAAAGTTTTTGATTTGTTATTAAAAAAATAAGCGATAAAATGTAACACGAGTAAATTACGTAGCGATATTTTTACAGGATTAATAAAACATTGAAAATATTAGCTGTATAATTTTTTCAGATTAATAACAAGTCAAAACAACAAATTGCTGTCGCAGACGCGAGCAAAGCGCGACGTGTTAAACGCTTGTATTCGGTCACCCGTGACACGGTATGTTTTTCACGAGTTTTCCGGCCATTTTTCACCCGTCAATCGACCCCTGGAAATCGCGACTGCATCCGTATCGGATCGGTCAGCGTTATTTCCGCGTCGAGCTACAATGGACCACATTTCTCCAGATACCGTTCACGCACATGTCCAATCTCTTCCCTCTCGCCTGTAGTTTCTTTCTCCATTCACCTGTTACCGGTCCTTTCTCTTTCTCTCTCCTGTCTCCGGCTACCTGACGACGGGCAGGATGTATCGCTTCGAATACCCCGGGTGCGAATCACGTGCCGTGACGCGTGTTGTCCCCAGGAGACAATGAGGGGGGTCCGATATTCGCGAAACTCTTTCTAGCGGAAGCGACTCGCTGACAAACACAGGGAATGTGCTGAAATTCAACTGTTCGACGAACAAGTACAATTCTACAAAAATTGTCACAATAAAAAATACAATTCTAAAAAATTGTCACAATAAATTCAGATAAAATTAGATAAATAAATTCATATAGTATAAAAAAATTATTTGGATATTATTCGTATATTTAACTGTAAAATATATAATAATTTTTTGATAAATTAATTTGCCGCTCCATTTTTCGCGATAAATAATCATTGTTGACAAATAAAATACAAGTATAATAGTGTATGATTCTCTGCTTTATGCTTGCTCATGAAAGATACAATTCCAGATATTTTCGGGGTAATATCAGGCGTTTGAAAAATTCAAGGAGGCGATGCATTAGCATTCCCGATGCCATGAAAAGCTACGACACTGTTAGGTCATAGGATCACACAAAATTCTCCGGGAATTTCTGTATAATCTCCTGGCGACGCGGAGAGAGCAATGAGGCGTTGCGATAAATCTCACGCTGAAAACAAGAATGAGGAGGAAATGGTAACGCGAATCGCATGGGTAGCTCGCGAAAAGCTCTACAGAGTTATCCCCCTCTGATAAATTCCAAATGTGATACTTTTCGTGAACTTTAAAAGGGAGAGAAATGCACGGAAGACGAATGGACTCGGTGTAAAGGAAGTCGTCCATGCCAAATGGGAAAGAAATATCGGGACGCTTAATCGGAAGTTTGATTTACAGAGACTCGTAACAATATATATATCACACTCAAATGGGAATTTTTAATTTTCTTCTTTCGTAGATTTTGTTTTACGTACAAATTTGATGACTAAACAAAGTATTCCAATAACCATGTTTCACGCGAAATTTTAAAAAGAACACGATATAACACTTCCATGTCGTAGTCATGTTTTCGATAAAAGCAATTGTTTTTACTTCCTCTGGTAATGTAATTGAAAGTTTCATCAACCGGAAGTGAACAAACTCCCGCCAGCTTATCCATTCGGATGGACCACGATTATATTCATTGCACTGCGGGTGAATCGAATGTCACTTGACACGAGGACAATACCTTTTAGTCCCTTTCGCCTCCACGTCTTTTGGTACATCCTGTTGAAAAGTTTCCTTCAGCTAATGAAATTTCTCCCAGAGGATGCGCTCCCTTCAGTCGAGCGATAAACGCTTTTCGACATTACTCGGAGTCAATCAGATTGCAGTTCTCCTTCAAGAGAGAGAGAATGCAGTTATATTAAATGAAAGAGTTTGGAAACAAGTTGGAAGAGGAAATTGAAGCATCGCTTAGAGGGACGGGACAAAGGATTCGATGATTTGAAAATGCGAATAACAAACTATGGCATTGTTTCTATTGCAAGTACGAAAAAGATTGTCCGACACAAGATTGATAGAATACTTGAAACTATTTCAAAAGTAAAGCCCACACAGAAAAAAAGGACATTCTTATTTTGAAAATATATTTAGTTTTAATATGGAAATCTTGAAATGAGATTATATCGCGTTAATTTAAGAAAAATATATTGCTTGAATAATTGCTTATTTGAATGAAGCCATTTTATATAGTTCAATTGAGAAAAATATATTCTCATGACTTAAGATTTAATTTTCTTGAATGGAAAAGAAACAATGTTGGATAGAAAATAACATTTTTAAATCAAAGATTATAATTTTCTTAAAGTAGAATTAAATAATTATATATTCTTGAGGTGACAATTACAATATTAAAATAAGACGATAATATTGTTGAAATTTAAAATTATTAAATTCTTCTAAGAAAATTAGAAATTGTTGCGTATATACGAAACAATGAACGCGTTAGTTGAAGTATATAAGTTTTGATTTGACACTTCTTTTTTTCTGTGCAAAAATTCTAATATATTTCTTTCTAGAAATTCAATTAGTTTGTATATTCTATAAAGGGGGGAGGAGGATAATAAAATTATTATATTACACAAGTTCGATTTACAAGAATAAAAATATGAAATATTATTCAAGCTGGGAATTTATAGAGTTTATATCATTCTCTGATAAAATTACACGCGTAAGTCTCCGACAAAAACAAATGAGCTTCTCCCACTGAAAGAGAAGCCGTTCATCGAACCGGACGCGAAACGTTTTTATTTTCACTTTGCTCTCCAGCGAGATTCCATACTCTCGGTCATATATGTATGTACTTGCATGCGAGAGGAGATATCGGTCGAGCAACTTTGCAGGAAGTTGGCAGGAAAGGCAAAAAAGAGAAGAGAGTTGGCAACCGACAAGAAAAGAAGAGGAAGGAATTATTGGAATATTGGAAAGCGGGATGCGAGCTTTTCGCGCTGAGATTGTGCAGATCTTGAGAGATTCGGGAAGCGAAAGGGATCGCGCGAGAGGAGACAGGGAAGGAAGAAAGATCCCTTTCCGACATCATAGAACGCGAAGAGAGAGTGCAACGTTTAATGCACGAGTGCATTCCACTCAACGTCGCAACCTTGCAAGGCTGCTTCGTAATTCAAAGCGAGGAATGCGGGATCTGCGTAAAATATGTGATATTTTGCAGTAGAAGAGGGTAAAATTATATACTCCTAGCGTTTCTCTCGTTTTATCCATCTTTCTCACGACTAATGCGTGAGATTCAGAATACAGACCGTACTGCGTGTAAGAGAAAAGCGTAGGAATTAACTTCGATTGCGGGCATTTAATAATGCAATTATATATTTGTCTGAATTAATATTCGTGTAATGCGTAGAAATTTTACGAGCAACGTAAACGATTTCGAGAGGAGAAAAATACGGCGTGCTTTTGAAGATAAAGCGATAAAGCTACGTATGAATGAGAGAGATCTGTCTGTTTTATAATAGATTCGTTAAGATTCAAGAGGAAAATGGTTTTATATAAATTTTTTAGATTTTTTCATCCGTAGTAAATGTATAAAAATTTGCATATATTTATGATATGTACTATTTTTAAAATTCCTTAATATTTTTATGAATAAAAAAAATATTTAGATTAAATAAAATTAAAATAAAATATTTAGATTAAATAAAATATTTCTTTTTATAATATTTTAATCTAATAAATATAATATTTTAATTTAAGTAATATGTAATCGTTATTTTTAATTAATTATATATGTTTTTTTGCAGCTCACGTGGACAATGAAGTGTACTTAGGAAGGGCGTTGGAGAGACTCGGCGATGCCGCTCTAAAGGAACAGGAACCGGACATAGGCGCGGCCTTCCTCAAATTCGCGGTGGTCACGAAGGAACTGAGCGCCCTCATGAAAACTCTGGTACGTGCCTCACAAGCGAAATTTATATTAACATGTCACATACGCGAGTCACGGAATATTTCGTGTTTTCCGTGCTGATGATCCTTCGCGACCCACAGAATATTTCGCTTCTTGTCACTTTTAGCCGTGTATTTTACCGGATTAAATTATTCCAAAAATTTAAAATAGCAAATTTCACAGGGAAAAAGGCATCGAAGAGATGACACAATTAAAAGGATGCATGATATTAGCGTAATTAAACATATAAAAAAAATCTTCAAATGACTGCTCTCGAAGAAGGATCCCGGAAAATGCACATTGTTGGCACTTTCATCGAAGCGTTTCGACGTTCCTTTAATTTTACGATTCATCAGGCGGAGATATTAATAAATGCGACCTCGATATATTGCAGTTTATGCGCGTTATTGGAAAAATCTCTTCACGGTCCATCGTCAACCGATGGCAACGACCCTAGCCTAGCATAGTACGTTCTTCGTACGTACGTACGTTGGTGTAGGTGCAAAAATAGAATCTCTAAACCGGCGATCAATATGAAAAGCGTGCGCCGGTCGTGCGCTGGCGTGCGCGACGAAATAAAATTTCGCGCCCGCGGTAAGATTACATCGGTTGCACGAGAGATTTTCAACTTTCCCGATTAACGATCGATCATGCTGCTCGAGAAAGAGCCTCGGATTTGCGGCCGCGTTTCCTCGGGAACGTATGACATTCACGGCACGCGTCCTGTCAGGGAAGCAAATTGTTCCGCTGAAACTATTTTCCATCACCGTGGGATTATACCTTTGAACTCCTTTTCATCCTCCTGCTCCTCCTCTTTGCGATTGTATAGCCTCGTATACGGATATCTGGGTCGCGATGAATGATGAATACAGGATGAATGTAAATTTGTACGACGGTAAACTCCCAACTCTCGATGCTTAATCTTCTCCGCGTCCAACATTCAACTAACTCCCAGCTGTCGAACATACGAGACTTTTTGTCTCTGGATTCCCGACTTGTCAGCTTGATATATTTATTTATGACTTGCACTCAGATTGCAGTACTCGTATCGCTATGAAATAAATTAGAGAATTTCATGCATCGTGAATTCCAGAATTACTATCTGCATGCACATGGTGAAACATCGACGATCGCATCGTTGTGTACAAAACGAAATATTTATATGCACCTTTTTTTACATGCCAAGTAAATATTTATACTGCACCTTTTTTACATGCCAAGTAAATATTTATACTGCACCTTTTTTACATGCCAAGTAAATATTCCCATTGCAAGTTATGTCGTTATATTTGGAATTTTTTCTTTTCTGAGCAAAAGTAAAACTGCTTGTTTTCTCGAGAAGAAGAGATACTTTTTTTTTTATTCGCAAGATGCACTCCGTCTATTATATCATTCCACGACAAATACTAAAAATCTCTCCGCGCTCGTATATTTTCACTTTTCTGACGTCTAGCTATCCCCATTATTATACGCTGACACGAGGCGAGGACTCTCTGTGCGCTCGCTCGTAATTTCCTGCCGCAGTGGCTCCTCTCTTATTCTTCAGGCTTCGCCTGAGGTTACCCGTCGTTTCGTTGAATTAAGAAACTCGATTCAGCGACGTATTATACAGCAAGTCCACGTTAACAGGATGTCCCGCGTAAAAAGGTCCGGAAGACGCGAATATTAGAGACGGAAGAAACGCTCCCACGTAAAGAGAAGTATAATACCGAGACCGGAACACGTGCCTATAACGTATCTTTTATTTTAATCATATTTCATTTATGCAAAAAGAAAGTTCAGAGAGTTGTAGTTATGCACAAAGTATGCTTTATACAATAAGGATATATTATTTAAAAAATTGCATTGATAATTTATATTAAATTCTAATCATACGCATGGTATTTTATTTTATTGGCAAAAAAGGACGGTATAATAATAATAAATGTGTTTGGATAAAACATCTCTTCCGATGAATTAGCGAAAAAATAAGAGAGATGGAGAAAAGGGTGTAATTACATTTCCGGGCGTGGATTTAAAAGCCGGACGATGCGGATTTAAACTGGTTCTGCGTATCTTCCGACAATTTCCTAAGCTCGCGGTTAGTCTATGCAGCGCAAATCGGAACGTCTCACGGTGGGATAATTACGTTTAGTGAAGCGTGCACGCTTATAAGCCATGGGAAAGAGAGAAAGAGAGACAAAGAGAGAGAGAGGGCAAATACTAAACTCTCCTAGATTCTATCACGCACGAGCGACCGCGAATTTATATTTATCAGGGCTTTAAACGTGCCACTCGCCTCGGTTGCGATTTCAGAATGGCTCTCCGCGTTCCCGACGTATCGAGGCCGATCGCGGATTGAATCTAAACTCTGCCGTTTAAATGCGATTCTTACTTTTTTTTTTTTTTGTTACCGCCGACCGCCTGGAGTTTCGAACCATTGCGTTCGACCATCTACAGGCATCGCGATGACGTCACACGTGCAATTGGTTCGAATTTATTTGCAATCGATGTTGACTTCGATTTAACTCGCGCATTGCATCCAACGAGAGCAGGAAGTAATATCCAACGCTTGAATACTGCGAGCCTTTTCAAAATTGAACTCGGATTATCGGATATTATTTCTGATCGATGTGATTAACCGTAATTGGAATCAGAAGAATAGTTTCTTCTCTCTGACGTTTACGTTCTCGAGATAATTTCACGGAATTAAAAAATTTATTGAATTTATCTCTTTGAATTGTCTCTTTAATAAATAACTTCAATCACTCTAATATTTACAAAAATATACAAAGATTATTGTACATCTCGTAATTACCTCCGTAATCTTTCTTTCTGAATAAAAGACAAGCAATATTAATTGATTAATCAATTATACGATTTAAAAGATTAACATTGATCATTCTTATCTTTTGGAAGACCTGATAATCTTTACAATAACTGCTAAAAAAATTAAATATTTTATTTATATAAAGATGATTACAATTAATTAGATGAAACCTTGTTTATTATTTTCCGGATCCGATTTAATAATAATAAAGAAAATGCAATTCATCATTTTCACTTGTGAATTCCTGCCACTTTCTTTGCGGAATAGGGTCAGATCCACCATTGTGTCTCATTATGCGGCGCGTTTGAGCGCTTTCCAGCCGAGTTTTCACAAGAGTCCAGAGTCGTGAAGCGAGGGATCGTCCTAGAGAGGAAGAGAAAGAAAAAGAAAGAGATGGAGAGCAGGTTCCGAGAGGAAGCTGCATTCTATTCGGGGTGAGGCGACGGGCTAAGCAAAGTGCTGACGTGAATCGACGATGATTCACTATTTACTGACTGGCTAGAATCAGACGGTGATCGTGATTACCGTTCCAGATTCCTGAAAGCTCGTATTTTTCATCACTATTTCCCATCCAAGTCTTGTCAGGCTGGTTATTCCGATAAATAGATAAAATATCGTACTTCACTTAATCTGAAATAATTCTTGCTCTTCTCGCGGCGCAGAGATAAGAAGAACCAATATTTTCACGTCTATATCTAATAGATACTGATGCGGCGGTATTTTTATCGCAGTGTCAACCGTGCTGTTGGATCATGTAACTACTGTGTAGTGTGGTATAAAACTTGAAAATATTTTATATTTTTAATTATATAAATTTTATAAAAATAAATAAATAAATATATTAATTTCTACTTTAATAAATAAATAAATAAATATATTAATTTTATGTAATTAAAAATATAAAATATATTCAAGTTTTAGACTGCTCTCTCCAAACTATTTAAAAATATTTATACTGCAAGAAACTTTTAATTGAAAAATACATTAAATAGTCAGATTAATAAAAAAACTAGACTCGGAGAGAGTCGAAACGTCTGTAAAATACTTATTGTATGCGATCGTGCTTTACATTCTTTGCGCAACCTTTTTAAATTGTATATTATGACAGTTCTTTTCTGTCTATTAATTTTTACTTGTAACTAATTAAATTGTTTGATACGCTATTCCATCTAGTACGGGTTCTTAGCCTTGATTATTATTTTAATTTTCTTTTTATTTTATATATGAACCTTTGTATCTCTTTATAATTTAAAAATAACTAGTATTTAATAAAAACGTCTCTGCTCTTTGTTTCACTTTGAGATTTATGTGGTTAGATTTTTTTGTGACTTAGATATGCCAGTCACGGTATTTTATTAATTAATAAAAATATATATTTCCTATCCACTGAATTTAATCATCGATCCTTTCTTGATTTTAGATGCAAAATATCAACAACATCGTCATGTTTCCGCTGGATTCAGTGCTGAAAGGTGACTTAAGGGGTGTAAAGGGAGATTTGAAAAGGCCCTTTGAGAAGGCTTGGAAGGATTATGAGGCTAAGTACGCGAAAATCGAGAAGGAGAAGAAGCAGCATGCGAAAGAGGCCGGTCTGATTCGTACGGAAGTCACACCCGCTGAGATCGCCGATGAGATGGAGAAGGAGAGAAGATTGTTTCAGTTGCAAATGTGCGAGGTAAGTGACGTAAAGAAAAATCCGAACAGAAAATATAAATGGTCGTACCCCAGTGACATGTATATATGTACTATCAATGTATGTACGTGCATCGAAATCCGATCGTTTAGAAACTGTCGTGTGTCGGATTGAAAAATGTATATTTTCTAACGTGACAACTTTATTTACATTTTAGACAGCGGAATCTACGTAGTTTTATATTTTGTATTCGATAGAAATCTGTGCAAGATGTCAGACATTTATATTTTCTTTGAAAATCGCTGAAAAATAATACAGTGTAGATATTAGATTGTAAATATTAAAATTAATAATTAAAAAAAAGATGAAAAAATTTTTCTATCATTCTAAAAATAAATTTATTTAATCTATTTTTCTTTCTCTCTTAACAATATTCAAAATATTAATAGAACTTCAAATTATACAAGATAAAAATAGTAAATTTTTAGAAAACTAAATAATTAAATATAAAAACAATTACATAAAAGGTATTATAATTGAAAATCTGATTAACAGAATATTCAATGCTGAAATTTATTCTTCGTAAAATGGATGGAGTTCGATCAAGTTGTGCTTATGAAGATTAAAGAAATGATGAGAGATAGTTTGCAGATTGCTTTTAAGATAAAAGTGTATTTGAGGAACGAGCGAGAAGATAGAGTTGCCAAACTGTGTCAATCATTACTTTCTGTTTGCTTGCAGTATCTGATCAAAGTGAATGAGATCAAAACAAAGAAGGGTATCGAGTTGTTACAACATCTAGTCGAATATTATCACGCGCAAACGAAGTGAGTGTAATGCAGTTAATCCATTGATCTATGTATTAATCTCGATTATAATATTAAATTCATTCTGAATTATTATCATAAAAAATATTTATCTATCTCTAAATCTTAATTTTTGAAATATAAGATATTGAAGAATGATCAAAGCCATTAATTTAGTTCTCTGGCGAGATTTAATCTGTTCGGGATTTTAGTTATTTTCAGGATGGTTTGAAGACTATTGAACACTTCGGCTCGTACGTAGCCGATCTCAGCGTGAAGCTGCAAAAAATCAGACAGACGCAGGATGAAGAAAGGAGACGACTAACGGAACTTAGGAGTCTTCTTAGGAGTTCTGGATGTGACAAGGAGGTAACATTGCCGATAACCAAGTCTCTTTCTAACATCAATTCGTCACGGAAAGCGCGATTGTAGAAGTAGACTTAATAGCCTTTAATTGGTACCATGACTTCTTCACTTTCATCGGAACAATAACGTTCTTTTTTAAGCATTATCGTATGTTTCAATCTGTTTAATATCAAATTACATGCTAAAACACTTTGCTAATATTTTTAAATAAAACACTTTATCATCTCTAAAAAATTTTATGAATTATTTATTTTAAATTTCTGTATATCGTATGTAGATCTTAAACAACATTTATGATGTATTTCACAGTTAAACGCGAACGCAAACGTTGGTTACTCGCTGCATCAGCTGCAAGGTGACAAGCAACACGGTGTCACGCGGTCCGGCCACCTGCTGAAGAAGAGCGAGGGCAAAATGAGGCGAGTCTGGCAGAAGAGGCGGTGCGCTGTGCAAGCGGAGGGATACCTCGATATCTGTCACGCGGATGAGAACAAACCGCCCACCAGGGTGAATCTATTGACCTGTCAGATCAAATTGGTGCCGGACGACAAACGAGGCTTCGATCTCATCAGTTGTAAGTATTACGCTTGATGCTCAAGCGACTCCGTCGATTCCTCACAATACGACGGACGCCGCGTAATACTGTCATTGTTTCGATTTCAGACAATAGGACGTACCACTTTCAAGCGGAGGACGAGGCGGACCAGCGCGCATGGATGTCAGTCCTAGTGAATTGCAAGGAACGTGCCCTACTGCGGGCGTTCGATGCGAGCGGCAAGGCGGAGGCCGGCAGTGGCAATCCTAGCCTCGTAGAACTGCAGCAGGCAGTCATACGATGCGTTATGCGATTACCCGGAAACGATCAGTGCTGCGATTGCTCCTCGCAGAACGGTAAACTTTGAATGTCGTAGATTGTTAGCGGCTGGCCTTTCTCTAACGCGTGCCAAGTCCGCTCCGTTATACTCGGCGCGTGACTAAAGCGCCTTTTTCCATCAAATTGACGTATTAGAAAACTGAGAATTAATTTAGCTTTTTTGAGAGATAATTTATCTCTCCGATTATGTATAAATCACACTTCTATGATAAGAATTTTTTATTGGAATCATTAGGTAGTCGCTGTCTTTAATTTCAAAGTATGACATCTTCATCAGACACTAAAATTAAGACTTTTTCATCGAAAGAATGTTTTTGTCATCGGATGACACGAACGTTCTCCGGTTCGCTGGCCGTAGGAACATTGTCGCGGATGTTTCCGCATAACAAAGCGGCAACTTTGCTAGCGCTCCAGTTCTCGCGGATGCGTTTTGTTGTCGAATGACAATTGTCTCCTTTTCAGATGCTACGTGGCTGTCGACGAACTTCGGCATAATAGTGTGCATAGAGTGCAGCGGCATCCACCGAGACTTGGGCGTGCACATATCGCGAATACAATCCTTGACGTTGGATAACGTCGGTACCGCTCAACTGTTGCTCGCTCGACACATGACCAATCAGGCATTTAACGAAGTGATGGAAGCGACGTTACGTCACAATCTCAAACCGTCACCGACGTCGACGATGTGAGTAAACTTATTAAAGTTTTTGATGATGCGTACTCGTATCCATTAATTACTCGACATTTCTCAAATTTCCGTTTTATTCGGTATTTATTTTTTTGTTTTTTTTAGGGAAGAGCGATACGAATTTATACGCGCCAAATATGTGGACAAGAGATATGTGATGAATACATGCGCGGATGAGCGCGATTTGCTTTCCGATTTAGAGCATGCTGTTAATAATCGTGATCTACAACAACTTTTACAAGTTTACGCCGAAAACGTAGATCTTGCTGCGCCGTTGCCAACATCGGTGAGAACACTATTGACATTTTTTATAGGACTATATCCGAATGGATGATTAAGAGAAACAACTTTCATGGTTGCAGAAATAAATAATAGCGATAGAACGTGTTCTAATCTCTTAATAATTAATTTCTCTTGTAATTATAATATATAATTTACGTCGAGATAATTTTTCTTTAGATTTAGAAAATAATTCATCTGATCCTAGAAAAAAAAATTAAATAAAATCATTTTGTTTTCCACAAAATTCTATAAAAATCTATATTTATTTTGATTAGGACGTAGGCGAAACGGCGTTACACTTGGCTATTCTGCGCGAGATGGGCAGTAGTTTGCACATTGTGGACTTCCTAGTGCAAAACATGCCTAGTGGCGGCATCGATAGAGCAACTATCGATGGCGAAACGGCGTTACATCTTTCTGCGCGGCATGATAGAGCGGAAGCAATGAAACTACTTCTACGAGCTGGTGCGGATCCTTCACATCGGAATAAACAGGACAAAACTCCGTTGGATATTGCCCAGGAAATGGGACACCATACCTGCAAAGAATTGGTAATTTAATAATTTTAACGAAATAAATACTTTTCAATTTACTTTTGCTTAACATTTTGATATATATTTTTTTCCACTTGTTTTGTAATAATCATTAATTAAAATACGCTTAAAACAATTGCTGATGATTCCTTTGAAGAATCGAAAAAATTAACGCATTACTTTCAGCTCAGTCATGCTCTCCAGAGGCAGAAGACATTATTTGACAATGTAAACATTGACTGGAATCTTTCTCATGATGAGGGTTCCACGGATTTTTCTGATGACGAAACGATAATAGAGGACAGAGTAAGTGCATTAATCTAAAACAGACTAAATCACTATATTGATTTTATAATTCACATACATATCTATCATTATATATTGACAATTGCAAATGTTTCTCTTGCAGAACGGATGCTTAACGCCTGAAAAGAAATCACGTAGCAGACCACCGTCTTACGCCGGGGGTGGTGGTACCGGATCGGGTGATTCCCCAGTAACATTGCGCAGTCGGAGTAGCACCTGCGATAGTTTACAAAGCGGATCTTCTCCGAGTGCCTCGACGAATCGCCAACAAATGCCTCCGCCGCCGCCACCACAAGCGAGAAAGCCTGTAGCTGGTAAGCTAACATATTCTTAATCTTAATATTTCATATATTACATAATAAATCTATTAAATGCACTATGATTTAAAATAATTAACGAATAAAGTTGCATTCAGCAAAAGTAATAACAATAGTTGATCACTCAGGAGCATTGAATGTCCTGCTTATCTTTAAATCCAGCAAATTTTGACACATTGACTGTATAATATATTATATATTATAATAATGAATATATACACATTCAATGTGTTAAAATATAATATATGAATATATTAATATATAATAATATAATATAATATATATCATATATTAATATTTTATATTAACAAAACAACTAAGAACAGTGTTTCTTTTGCCGAACGCATTTATAATAATTATAGTAGCCTTGTAATTAACTTTAAATTTCTTTTCGTATTGCTAATATTTTGATGCCAATATTTTCACGTAGTCCCCACACCCATGGCGCCGGACATTTCACTGAACATCCACGGCTCGCTGAAGAAGCGGGTAGCGCCACCTCCACCGCCATCCACCGGAAATGCTGCTACCGCAAGCGGTGTTGTACTACCGTCGTCGCACTATGGTACGCTACCTACGTTGGCTACGTCGACGCACAGTCGTACGACCAGCGAGCCGATTTTAGCCGGCCACACTTTACACACTCTACCGCATACGTTGAACACACTAAATAGCCAACATCATAAGAGATCACCGAGTGGCGACTCGTCAACCGGACACGGTACATTCGATAGATAAATCTCACAGGCGAAGCTTGCTGATATTCTAATTACTATATTGATGTGTATCTGTCTCTTTCTGTGAATAGGTATGGATAAAATGAACAGCTCGACGCTGCAGAGACCGCGAAATCCACCGCCTCCAGCACCATCCGGCGTCACGTCCAGACTCAGCAATGGACGTAGCAGTGAATCTCTGAGCTCCATGTGTTCGGATCATGGTCTGGGCAATCCTATTCCGCCACCGCGAAAGGTAAGTTGCACTTAAATTGTCTCAATAGGAATTTCGCGATTTTGAAAAAATTGGGGAAAATATTGATTTTATATACGAGATAGGTACCTTTCTTTTTTACTAAATGTAAGCATTTTCTTCTGAATTTGATACGTACGTCTTAGTTCATTGGCGATTTGAAAGCTAACAAAATACTAAATGAAAATTTATTTAGGATTTTGACAAGATTTATCTACATCGTTCTAAAGGAGAAGTTGAGCGAGTGTTTTGTATATTGATCTCTGAGATTGTAGCTGCTTCAGCAAATGCACAAGATACCATTAATAATTCAATATATCTCGATGAAAAAAATTATAAGGTTCTTTAGCAAATATATCCTAACAAATGCAAAATATTAATAGATATCATTTTATGAAAAGATATATTCTTAAATATTCTTGAATATGATAAAAGTTGAGCGAATGTAACGTTTTGAAAAAAACTATTTCTAATATGTAAAGCTCTCGCTCATATATGATTTTTTCACTTCTCTAATTTATCTTCGAATGAGGTTGCCAGTGGTACTATTATACATTAAAATTCATGTTACATCTATATATTTTCTAACAAGTGTTTGATATCAACATTATACAACTATCGCACTATTTCACACCTTACCTGTTTGCACACATACCGGATGGCCGTTTAATCGAAGTTTATACTAATGCAGTAGGGGAAGGTATAACTAACAGGTTGTTTTCCTCCGTAGTGTAGTTTTCTCTCGTGCAGGCTTGAGTATTTCGCATATTGTAGTATTAACCATACGTCATATACATCGACCCTTATTCATACTCATCTCGTTCATATTTACAATACCATATATAATTGATCCTCGTTTATATTAATTGTGAACATAAAATAATTGAAAAATTTATCTAATGTATAATAACTAGAAAAATTATCATTTCATTATTCCAATCATTTCACTCATTGTCACTTCATATCAAATCATATATAAATAATCACTGCTAATTCACTAATAAAAGTATTGCGAGAAATAACGTCCCAAAGATACTAATATTTTTAACAGTGGATTAATTTTTACGACAAGCATTACGTGTCAAAATCAAGTTCGTTTTAAATTTAATATTTCTCGAGATAAAATCGATGAGTAAATTATTAAGAGAAGAATTTGCAGAATATCGAGCAATTTATTGCAAATGAAATAAAATTCGCTGTGATACAATTTGAAATGAATACATGGTCAGATGTAAAATATCTACCTACGGTGTATGGATATCAGAATGCATGAATTTCAAAATCAGTGTGCTTTATGGTTTGTCATTAACCATTGTTGGTACAGCGAAGGGACCGATCCAGGCTAGAGAGCTACGCCGAAGAGCCTTCATCTTTGCTCCTAAATTTGAATCTGGTAAACATCAGTCATCCCACATTACCCAGCATGTTACACTTGAAATTACCTTTTAAAAATGTAATCTCTGCGAAAAATGCAATCGTATCACATCGATACTTAGCAATAATTAATGATAAAATCTGAATTATAAGAGTTTTATGCTCTCTCTCTCTCTCTCTCTGTCAATAATACTTTCAAGTGTAACACTGTTTTGCATGATCAATCGTTCGTATCATTATTTGTATAATGTCGAAATTTCGGATGTGATATTTCCGCGTTATAATCATTTCGACCTTGCTGCAGTTGAAGTATAAAGATATTTCTTATCGGTTAAGATACTACTCGATTATAACAATATCTTTCTTCCGCAAGAACTATAAATAACTCTGTATGCATACTCTGTATGGTCTTCTGACCGCTGATAATAATATGAAATGCGTTGCATTGTGTGCAACTAACATCTATTTTTCTCGACCGATTATCAAATCCTATCTAATTCGTTAATCTCTCGTGTGACTTTCTTAATAAAAATTGTATTCTTTTCATGACTTTTATGTAGCTAAACTACTTTCATATATCTAGGAAATACGAAAATGTAAAATATATAACTGTAAATATTGATTTTCGCATGGATTTCCCCGAATGAATTTATGTTTGGCAACACTTTAATGCATCTGTTATACTACTTCCTCCAAATCGTGATATATCCCCTTTAAAACTCTCTTATCGTAATAAGCTATTCGAATATTAAACATCGTATAACTAGCATGATGTTAATGTTTATATTGGAAATTCTAGAATTCTTATATACGTGTATATAAAAAAATCATGTATGTATTAAAAATGTCAGAAACGTATATCACACACACAAAATTATACTCTATTAAAAGTTTTTCATATTTATATTAAAATAAAATTATATTTATTTATTATAATCTGGTTTATAACATTGGTTAATTTCGCGCGACTAATTTATTACATCTTTTCATTTGAAAAAATGTAAATAATTAGAAAGTAAATTTTATGAATAAAAATAATTATTAACGAATTAATGAATTTTAATCGACGCCGATGAAAGTAACTTTACGGCGTTTCACGAATTTATAATAACTTTCCTAGAATTTCCAATGTTTTTCTGAAGAATAAATATTCTTGCGCGCTTGTCGTCCTATGACAAAGATACAAGCAACAAAAAGTGCTTGCTTCTGCGAGATGACTGAAACGCGCACGTTAATTGTGACACTTGCCCGATTCTCATTCCACGATTTTTTCTCGTGTAGCCAACATCGTCCACCTTGACCGGTCTTCGACGCTGTCGAGCCCTGTACGATTGCGTGGCCGACAACGAGGATGAGCTGTCATTTCGTGAGGGTGAGATCATCATCGTGACGAACGAGCAGACCGACGATGATAATTGGATGGAGGGCGCGTTGGAACGAGCACCAGAACGACGGGGAATGTTTCCGATCAGCTTCGTGCACATGTTGCAGGATTAACATTCGGTAAGCCTCAACTCGTTAACGAGTGTCACGAGCACTGCCAGTTCGATGAGTGTCGCCAGTCTTGGCCGAAGAAGCTGGCTAAGGAAGCCGAGGGAATGAATCAACATGATGCGTTCAAGCAATCATCCATCGTCTCTTCAGAACTCGACTGTCATAAACGTTCAGAGAAATGAACGTTAGGCATTGACGAACACCGTTACTAAATAAAGAGTTTAATCTGTATTTTAACTCTCGTTCCCGTTGCGTCTCGTAGAGAAACTGATATCCTTAAAAAAGAAGTCAAAGTGCATCAGTTGCGAGTAATAAAAGGGTGAAATTTTACACCGGATAATAAATACTTAAGAAAATTTTGAACAAAATTAGTAATAATATAGATCTTTTTGTTTTTAAACACATACGAAGTAAGCTTCTAATTCTAGCTAATTCTTACTTTTTATTATTCTATAAAGAAAAAATGATTTAATAGCAATAATAAAATTTGATTTTATTTTAATATCTATAATTAAATAGTAAAATTTATGTACATTGGAATCTATTTTTACTAATTAATTTATACTAGTGTTGTATACATTTGCATAATTATTTGCAAATTTGAGTTTCATTATCACCCAAAGGTTACATACCTTGTTGACGATTTCTTGAACATTTAAGAACATTCTAAAATTTTTCTCTGTTACATATAAAATTATTTCTATTCATACAATAGCGTTCTCTTACAGTAGTCTATGATTTTTTAAGTCGATCAAATATTAAGTAGTAAATTTTAATTTTTGTTTTTGTCATGATCGACATATACATGTGACATATATATGTGATCTATATTTTGTTCTAAGAAAATTACGAAATAAATATTAATTTTCTTCGATTTAAACAAAGTTAATAGATACCTTGAAGAATTTACACTGACAATGAGCCATAATCAATACGTAGTACATCGTAAATTGTACTAACTATGACTGCGAAAAAAATGATGTTTAGTCGAGTATTAGTGTCTTACGCTGGATGACAATCATATCGAGACCTTTAAAGGCACGTGAATATTACAGTCGATAATGGATACTCGGGAATATCTTGTCATCCAGACAGATATGATTACACAACGGGGTTTACCTTTCCTCGAATTGTAATCTCTTCTCTCGTTTTCTTTGAAACATAAGATTAAAAAAAAAGCTAATTGTACAAACGCCGCAATGTCGACATTCACTGTTTCCAATGTTTGTCGAAGAATGTTGTATCTAAAGAGTTTATACGTAGAAATCATGTGGTATTCGTCTACTCATATTATATATGATATTCAAGATATATAATCTATAGTTAGAAATCCGGCTAACAAAGTATGACGTTGGAAGTGATATAATAACATGTCGCGCATTGCAGCGGCCTGGTGTTGAAATCAAGGTGTTGAAATCAAGTTAAATTAAAGATAGAGTAAAGATGATACTGATTGTAATACTGCGCGACGCTAATATGTGATATATAATATTTCAAAGAATGAATTATTGACACTATGCATTGAAACGAATGAAATCATGCGTACGAACAACATTTTCCGTAACAAGATAAAATAGATTTGTCCGATTCAACGTATGTACAAGACGCTTCTAAAAAAAGAGAGCACAAACAAGTATCTATCGATAGAGAAAAACTTTAATAATAAATATATAACAATAAATAATTATATGTAGAACGCTAAAGAAATATATAAAGACTCGAATCTGCAGATTAGAAAATTAAGCTTTCATCACATGTCTGAAAAATCCTATATAATACATTCTCGCGATACTGAATGCTAAGAAAGGAAAGAGATGCACAGTTCACAGTTTCGGTGTCTTAATGTTCTGTCTATCGATCTGGCGAACACTTCTTTTTTTCATACTGCCAATAATGAATCGATTTAACATAAGGATAAATGAAACTATCGTGGTATAGAATATTGTATTTAATCTCCCTACATTTAGCGCTAAATCCTGATTCTCCAAATCTGAGATATCCAATCAAATGATGAGACAAATAAATCTCAGAATCAAACGACCAGATCTGACGTTAAATGTAAGGTACAAATACGAAATCGTAGTCTTTATAGCAGGGTGATTAAAATTAGCGTAAAAAAAGAAAAGGAAGATAAAGGAGCGAATTTTACGATCGTCAAGCACGATATATGTTACATACCGATATTGCATGAGACATAGTATTATTAGCATATTCGATTTTACATCGTTATAAACGAGTGTATATTTTTTTTGTAATGCCATACTACATGTTAGTCGATCTTCAAATAGAATAAGGTGTTCGAAACTGGTTATTAGCCGCCAAGCGTGCTACAAAAATTATGGGAACGTGTAACATGACGCGAACAGACGGAAAATCTTCACGTCGCGTTACATTATTATTAATATTCTATTTGAATATACGAGACCAAAGAGGATATTGCAAAAAAAGGAGAAAGTCGCGTTGAAAATGGAATGTTTGCAGAGCCTTTTTATAATATTTTGGTAAAGATTCTCAATCATTTTTCGAATGACATGGAGAAGATTGTAGCAAACGCGATACTTTCTATTAATAATGTGATTATTTATTACTACTGTCGATGAAATGGTTCCGCAAATAATCATGATTCAATAACATTAGTCTGATCGACGGGGATCGGCGTGTGTACCTCGTGTATTTATTATACGAATCGCGTATCGATGCTTGTGGGCACAGCACGAATAATTTCTTTCCTTACGATTTATATTATAAGGCTTTGTACATATATAGACGAACGAAAGTAGAATATATACTGCTGTAACGCTATTAACTGTGACATTAATTTCTTAAGTATAATCGATTGATTTAAGCGTGTTAGGGTCGCGTAATATCCCTAACTCTTTCATTTAAAATATGGCTACAAAAAATTTCTGAACAGCAAAGAATATATCATCTCACGATTTTATTCCAATAAAGTTGAAAAAGGAGTATTTCTATGAATCGTATTACTTAAATGTAGATTCAGATATACATTTTTTTCGAAGAGCTAAATGTTCACGTTTTATTTTTCCGAATGCGCTTTATCATTGTCGTGATAAAAAAATTATTAATCATTTTTATAGATATTCTTTCGTAATTCACAGTTTTCATAAAACACAGGGAAAATGAAAAAGGCTACAAGTGCCATTATTTAAAAACAGTGTTTTTCACTTAAACTTACTTTTACAAAGAAAATGCTCCGCTTAAAAAAAACATTATTTATTAATAATTTTTATTAATAAATAATATTATTTATTAATAATTTTTATTAATAAAATTCTAAACATAATATAAATGATACAGACAATATTACAGAATTTTCCATTCGAATCATCAAGTTGGGAATCGCAATTTGCAATAAAAAAATTTTTTCACGAGGGCATTCTTCGAGTTTTCCATTTTTTATTAATTAACTTTTTTCGGCAGCACCTATATAAATAAATAACATAAACACCAATATAAAATGTCGAATGCAAGTTTGCGTGTTACCACATTTAGACAAAATAAGATTGTTCTTCAGTTTAATAAAGATCTTTGTAGATATCTTAAATACAATTAAGGATTTTAGAGGAACAGAAAGTATAAAATTATGGCTGGATGCAATTTTGTTTTTAAGTCAAAGCGATAAAATATATAAGCTCGTCGGACGGACGATACGTAGTAGTATTATATTGAAGTTGTATCTTATATATATAAATATATAACTTCTCTCTCGGTATGTAGTATCTGTAATAAAAGAAAAAAACGTTATCTACTTAATATTAGATTAACAGTCTTTCTCACCAAACTCCACGTTATCTTGGAATTCATCGACTTCTTCACACAAGCGCATCAACATAGTATCCATTTATCTTCGGAATAAAATAAAACGCGTGTCGTCGATCTATGTAAATATGTGTATAGATAAAAGTAGAATTTCATGTATGTGTGTGTATGCTGGATGACGAGAGGAAACGTAATAAATTGATGTTTATATTATACGAACACATATATTATATAGACACATTATATATATATTGAATTACGATCTAGACTTAAGAAATATGTGGATACTATTTAAATAATTGTATGATTCTCAACTGTATGATGCGATCGAGATCCTTTGCATTTCAAACTTAAGAATAATCGTTAGATAGATTGTAAGTATTTATTATTATTTTCTAGCCACTTTCTCTCGTATATTAAACGGGACGCGTGAATGTATAGTGAAAATGAAAGAGATTCTTCGAATATTTGATACGAACGACAGCAAAATGCGTTGCTTGAACCAATGATTGCATCACTGTGATTAATTAAATTCTTTATCTCTGTTTAGCTCTGTCTATAGCCAGAGTTATTATCCGAAAAGAGATATTTATGAGATATTTTGTAATCTACGTCAGCGCTTTTTAGCTAATTAATTTTCAACCAACGAAATGAAAATTCGAGAGAAACAAAGGATTAGCGAGACTTTCAGAGGTTTCTGTTATTCTGTGTCTATTTTATATAGAACCATGTGAACTAGAGCTTGACTGATAGTGAGAATCACGAAGAGAGTTTAATTTATCAAAGTGTTGATGCATTCTATCCTAAAGAGAGGAAATCATAATGATTACAAAGAAATACGAACTCAAGAATCTCCTCTTTATCAGAGGATGCAGCAGTTTTGTACTCGTATCTGATATTTTAACAATCTTGTATCGATATTGCGTATAAAAGAAAATGCATATTAATATATTAAATCCCTGCGTATATATACGTAGCCATTCCGTTAGAGATGATGTGAGAAAGGAAGGGAAAACGATGACGATACAAGTCGATCGAACAAAATCATACGATTCTAGATATTCGGCGAACGCGTGTTGTGTCGCCGGAACAGGTCTAAATATTTATATATTACACGGAACGATAACATTGTATCGACGTTTACTATTATCTTTCACCGTTAAAACTGTGCACAACGTCTTCGAATGGGACGCGATTTCAAAAAATGTAACAAAAGAAGAAAATAAATGCTGTTTAGAGAATTACAAAATCAATATCACGCTCTTTTAATTTTATAAAATATTGTTTCCTCAAAGACACTATTATCTTAATACGCGATAAGAAAGTCCAAGGATAAAAGATATTTAGAACACAACTAAAAATACAAGTGAAAATCACATAATGGGACGTAATTACACAAGAAGTAATCAAATATTTGTTTTAAATAGATATAACTGAAATCGATCAAGTGGTATTGTATTCAATAACAGAACATTTCTTTTCATATTTTTTGGATTAAATCCTATTGTATCCTAATGTAAAAATTAAATATGTTAAAAAATGTATATATTTAGAGAAAAAAAATCGATCGTTTTTAAAATATTAACATGATTTCTCTACAACTATTTCTCTATAAATGAAAAATAAAAATGTTTTAGATCACTTTCCATTCATACTCCACTCATACATGCAATTAATATACACAGATACATCAATATTAATTGCAGTACACAATGCATGCGTATGAAAAATCTTTTATTGAAAAATGTTTTTTCTCGCTACAACGTCAGTGTACCCTCGTCTATTCAACTTTTTTTTTTATAACAGTACAAAAATTGCATTTTTACAAGTTGCCCAGCTTACTTATATGACTAAGGTATCCCAGGGGTTAGCAATCATTTCTGATGAAAATTCGAAGGATCTTATTACTTATCTAATATTATCCGGAGAAGCTGCGGCAAAACGTGTGAACACTAGTGTTACCCGGCGAGGGGTGCGAATCACTTCCCGCGCGTACAAGAAAAGAAAAAGCGTCTGGCGCGTCGCGCTTTCTCTTAATAAAGCAAATCAGTCGCTACAACACTATAACACGCCCGGTTTTATTTTACCGCACCGGATCTAATTTATCATTTGCTATCGTATGGACATCTTCAGCCGGAAACTTGCATCGTCTCGTACTCGAAATTTCAATCGAGGAAAATCATTCTTCAAGAACTACTACTACAATTAATCGCGCAATTCTCTAATGTGCAAGTATCCGGCCAAAGGACATCCCGCGAACTTTTGCCCTATATATATTTACTTTTCATCTATCCTAAACCGAGGTCGACGAGCGGATAACAGAACACGACAAACGTGGAACATTTTATCGCCATCCAAACTTTAAGAAGGGTGGCCAGAGAAACTCGATATGGATGTAACGAGTCAAACGAATAAAATGTGCACACGTATATGTGCAGATGCAATGCGAACTGGAAAATCGCAAAGAATTGAGTATAAGTGCTTTCAAGTATTTACACGTTAATAGAATTATACATTTATATCGTATTATAATATGCAAAGCGAAGTATTTATCAATATAGTCGATTATATAAGTGGAAAAATTATGAATAATCTTTTTGCGATTTTTTCTTTTTCTCTTTTTTACAGAATCCACGACTTCAGCAATTTTTACCTATTTTTACGACTGTAATTTGCTATTAACATATATTAACATTTGTTTTATTAAGAGAAATACTTTCTTCATGTTTACTTAATCGCAGTGTTCATTTGAATACATCGCTCCTTGTGATTTTCCAATTTGCGATTAAAATCATTTCATTTCGAATGAAAATTTGCTTATCCGTTCGTTATCACTCGTTCATGCGCATCGCGCCTTCGAAAGCTACGAAACAATCGCCGCCGATAGTTAATTTTGAGCAAGACAGGTGTCCAGCGATCCTGACAACGATTGTGTGTGTGTAAATACTAAGTACACATGTTATACTATGCCGCGTTAATTTACCACAAATAACAATGATGATAGATTAATGATCAATTGGCAAAAAATTAACATAACGGCGGCTCTGATCCTCGGCAGGATCATTTTTCTTTTTTGCTTTTTTCCTTTATCACTATGCACTTACAATTTCGCGGATAAAATCTCTTTGCATCCTCTTTATTATTACAATTCAGGTCCTGCCTTTATCAGTTGGAGATTAGATGCTGCGCTTCGATTATAGATGAAATATAAGTAGTAATTCTACGTTGAATGAAATTCCTGATGTCGCTTAGGAGCAGTCTTTGAGCTTTTTCTTTACATTTTCGCTCGGATCGCTTTATTTATTGCGTGTATGTAACCGTGTCGACGTATGTATATATATATATATATGTGTGTGTATATGTTTTATCGTGTCTCTATGTGATACCTGGCAATGTGTGTGTACGTAGATTTATTAATGTATAATTAATTAACTATAACTGGTAGAGAAATTAAAAACGTATTATTTGACTAGCTTTTGATCATTTCTCTCTTGGAATTCGTAGAGTTTCGCGATACATATCATATAGATATATGTATACATGTATATAAATATAACTGATCAGATATAGAGTTTTGGTGCTGCTGCTATTGCCGCTGATCAAGAATAAAAATATATCGCGAGTGTGAAACGAAATAATGATTAAGTATAGGTATTCGTCTTGTGTGTACGTACGGTTATTACTATAAATTACAATTCTTAGCAGGATAACCCTGGATTCGAGAAATCATCGCGCGGTCTCTTATATGTATTACCTTCTAGCAGAATATAATTATTGTTATAATAATCACTATAATATATACTAATTAACTAATTTTATGTTTTAAATTCATGTTTTATATTCACTCTTTTCTTTTGAATCACTTACGCTCTTTCTTTTGAATCACTTACGCTCTTTCTTTCTTCCCTTCGTTCGCTCGTTTAATGCTTAATTATTTTGACAAGTGTTTCCATCTTCGCAGTCTTCCAATTATTCTATTCACGCGCGCACGAAATCCATTCAAACGGAAGGATAGTGAAGCATTCAGGATTCTAAACCGACGGATCGCGGCGCGTGAATTATTCAGTCTTTCATAATTTTTCTTACTTCACATAATATCGCATAATAATCAGTTATTACTCACTACAACATTACACAATTTAATAAATTTAATTCTTTTTGCTTGCACGAAAAAATATTATGCTATATTACTCGCGACGCTACTTCAACATGCTACATAGATTAAATATGATGTATGCTTAGAATTTAAAGCCACAGATTTCGATGTCGCGCCACGGTCTATAGCGTCAGTCTGACCCTTCCCCCTCCCCCAAATTTCGCCACTATTTTATAATATCAAATTTCTACATTTCTTATATACGCTCATCCTCTCCATGTAAGGCCCTTAATATCCATTATTGTATATTTACTTTTTATAATAGCTTATCATTTCGTAAAAACAAAAAAAAAATGAGATGAATCCATCAATCAAAATAAAGTCACGAGATCTGTGCGCAAACTACGAAGCATACACGCCGTCATACGTGCTTTCCGATATAGTTGAGATTAAGTTTTAAAAGTATGCGCGGATTAACTTATGACAGAGTGTCAATTTTTTAAGCATGCTTGTTTTCTAGACAGAGTACAGTAATAGTAAGAGCGATAGATAAAACGGTAGCGATGTAAGATTGATAATAATGATGATAGTATGTAATAGGAATAGAGTAGTAATAGTGTGCTAATAATAATAGTAATAGGAGCAATAGTAGCGCTAGTAGTATAGTGTGATAGTGATGTTAATATATAATGATAATAAAAATATAATATTACCACAATAATATATAGTAATATAATACTAAAAATAATTAAAATCAGTCGAATTATTAAAATGAATTATATTACGCTACTACAAAATTCTCTAGTGCTTAAAATCAGATGAATTCCATTTTGAAAAATGGATAACATGAAAAATAATATTGCAAAACATTGCATGGTGATGTAATATCATTTTTTCATTCTGTTTGTCTTTGTCTCTCTTGTATTTTAAATCGTGTAAAATACAAGAAAGAAAGAGAAGAATAAAAAAAATGATACTACATTTCCGTATAATGTTCTGTAACATTATTTCTCATTTGAGAAAAAGAACTTGTTTGATTATAAACGCCAGAAGACGTAGTAACATAATGTAACTAATTTTCAATAAACTTATTAATCTTACTTCTTTTTCATTTTACATTATTATTATTATTATTATCATATTAATATTATATTTTCACTATAATGATGATAGAGATATTATATTTCTATTATAGTTATAATGATGTTGAATATTGGTAATCATAACAGTAAAAACTTTATTGTAGTGAGATTATATTTATATCGTGAACGTACTGATGTTGGATAATATTAGTAATGATAATAGTAAAAATATAACATTAACATAATAATAATAATAATAGTAATATAATATTAAAAAGAAGTAAAATTAATTTAATTATGGAAAATGAATTACATTATGTTACTATACCTTCTGATACTTAAGATCAGACAAATTCCATTCCCCAAAATGGATAACATGAAAAATAATATTGCATTACATCGCATGAAGATGTAATGTCATTTTTTCACTCTTTTCTCTCTTTCTCATATTTTAAATCATAAAACACGAGAAAGAAAGAAGAAAGTGAAAAAATTACATTACTATGCAATGTTCTGCAGTATTATTTGATGTATTATCATATGTATATATATATATACTTTTTCTTATATATTTATATATATGGATGCAGTAATAGTCGAGGAAAGACTCTATCTTTCTAATAGCATTTGGCTTGCCAAATTCTGTCAATTAAATAGTACAATTGCATCAGATATAATAAAAAATATGATTTACACATGTATGCGTGTGTGTGTGTTGTGTATGTGTAAAAGTCATTCGCTTTTCGAAGAATGACCTATCTTTATCTCTCTCTCTTTCACAATAATGTCGCACGTGTCGGACATTTTTTTCGATTTGGTTAGGGCTATTAAAGCGTAAGTGTGTATACACGCAGGTGTTTGCATACAACAAAAGTATATCATTCCATTGAATATCACTTTAAAACGATGACTTATGAATAGCACGTCGTCTCGCTCACTCGTGTATTTTGGCAAACAGAATTTTTCTTCAAATAAATTTTCAGAATCGAAAATCTGAAAAAAGTTCAGACGTGACTTACATTAAATCCCAGAACGCGAATATAGAAGTTTAGGCCTCGCCGAATCCGCCGATCGCTTGCTCGGTCATCCTCAAGCAAAGAGATTCCAAGCGAGAATTGATTTCCGGCTCCGTCGTTTCATTCGCTCCATTGGTAGGGTGCCCCAAAAAACGGTCCCGCTGCGGCGCGCTATATGCACGTTGCAACGTTTTTTGTAATTGCTGCAAAATAAAATAGTCAACATATTAATAAAGAAAATAAAATAAAATTTCGCGAAACTAGATTTTATTTTACCTGCAAACTGCTGGTCTCTTGTAGGCTCGGTCTTTTCTCAATTGTATGTATCGTACGCAAGTTGTTCGTATTCAAAGTATTCATATTCTGATTCTGATTATTTTGCAAATACGGCGAAGATATACTGTTTCTATGCGGAGTAATCATAAAATGGTTGTTGTGTAGATGGGTAGTGTGAATGTGGTTCAAATTTAAACTCGGCTTCCTATTGTGCTGTTGCGAATTGCCATACCTTCTGTTATTGTAACCGTAATTGTGTTGCCATCTAAAATTACGTACATATATTTCGAAAGTTATCTCAACACAATACATTAGACTACTTGTATTTTTTGTCGAGAATGTAGGTCTCGTCTTACTTTGGAGTTGGTCGTGGATTGCCGAGTCTACTGCGCCATTGTTGCACTTTCTCCTTCTGATTCGGAGTAAAACAGTCGTGCTGCAATATCTTTTCCAAAATGTTGATGCACGCGCACAAAATACCGTCTTCTACGCTGTCCAGAGCCAATCTACTGCACACTAAATAAAGAAACCGATAATGCCGACGATATTTTTTTTTAATCATCTCTAATGGAATTTTAATAATAAAATTATAATGTAATATTCTTATGTACATACATTTTCCAAGCACTTTTGTAAACTGCGCAGGGATATCTTGCGGATCGTTCTCTTGACTCGGTTTCATAGGAGTCGCCAAGATAGTTTTCAGCTCGTCCATCGTATTAATGAGTAAAGATGGACCTTGCGAGAACGAAGTGTTTTGCATACCATCGCGGGCGCTAGGTTGCACCAAACCTTTTTCCAGATTCAAGAGCGTATTATATCGTTGCTGCAGTTTAGCGATAGAGAGAGCCAGTTTGTGCCTAGCACCCTTTGTAACTCCTTGTTCTGCCAATTGATCCTCTGTCAATTGCAGCATGTCCTCATAACTCATGGTAACAAATAAGTAACTGTATTTATGGAGGCGTAATGTTTTAAGCCATGATTGTACATCTGTAAGTGAAAAAAAATAACTTATAAATAATAAATATTCTTATCGTGAGAGGAAATGTGCTTTGAATGGGATTGATAGAATAATGTAATTAAAAAAATTCTTTGGTTTAAAGACGTAAAAAGTTATTACATGAAACGCAAAACTATATACATTCTCTGGAAAAAAGAACCTTCCGATCTTTTCGATTCTGTTAGGTTAGGTTATTTAAAAGTATTAAAATCGCATTTAAATTCACCTCTCATACCGCTCGCGAGCGAACGATTGGAAGCGTCATCCAAACGACCCTCGCTACCGCTACTCGCACAGGAACTCTGTGGGCTCAGTGGACCCAAACCGATAATATTGCCTATGTAAAAATTATCATTTAAAAACGTGCCAACGTAATGCGACATAAATTCATACATATATATTAGAAATTACTGGCATGATCTCCGGAAACACTAAAGCTACGCGGCTTATGTCTGGATGAATTATTTGTGTTATTAGTACGCTCGAAGACTTCGAGTTGATGCGGCGCTGGCACCGGTGGCGTCAAGCTATTCGAACGACGTTGACGAGGTTGAAATTGTAGAAACGTAGGAGCCGGTTGCGTATTAAATAGATTAGCCTGATCACTTTGCTGCTTAGAATTTCTTTGCCATGGACTCTCCCATCTTATCATGTGACAAAATTTAGAGATACATTAAAGATAAGATATCAATATTTTTTTAATATCATTATTTCTGCCTGACTTACCTGCTTGGAGTATTTGGGTAATCTTCGAGACCGGTAATAGGCGGTGTACCACTGATACGCTCTTCCAAATGTCTGAGCCATTGAGCTAAAGAACGTCTATCTTGAATAGTCATAGCTGGGTGTATTAGAGTATAGCTCAAAAGCTGCTGTGTTTGTTCTGTAAATTGTCCTGTGCTCACACAATGATTCACTAATTCTGGTATTGCCTGCAGGTAGCTTTGTTTGCACTCTATATTCTCAGGCCTTAGTAAAGGTATATGTGTCAAGACTTGATTAACTGCAATTTCTGTTGATTCTGACATTAATGACGTGATATAAGCTGGAATATAAAATATTTTACAATGTTACAAGTATATATGTATGTATATATACAATATATATTGAGTACACTTTATTAAATCACTTATATATTATTTCTAAATATAGAAAAAATGTTAAAGATTATAATTATAATTACTTGGATTATTGGCATTTATTTCCTTTATATCCAATTCAGACACAGAGTGCAGGGAGTGTTGTATCGCTTGTGCGAGAAACCTTGCCTGAACTGCAGGTAGACGACGCAAAAGTGAATAAAGAACAACAGTTTGTTCGCATTCATTCCATTGAGTGAATACATGAGTAAGTTCGCTAACTTGTTCATTAAAAGGAGCACCAGTTGTCCACTTCATTTTGGTTTGCGTAAAAGTTTTTCTCCCAATACAGTCTAAATCACCTCCAAACATGTATTCACAGTCTTCAAATAGTTGAGAATTGCCAGTCTTCTATTATATAAAAAAATGTAACAAACAAGAAGTTTTCTCATTTTATCTTCGCACAATTAAGAAGTAGATATATACAAAAAAAATGTAAACAAATTATTGCTTCAATATTTTAAGTGATTTTAATTTTAAAAATGAAATTTAGATAAAAAATAATATTTCAATAAAAGTTTTGACAAAATTAATTGCTATCATATTTCTTTCCTCTAAATTGCGTATACTTTTATGTAAAAAGACACCATTATTGGGAAAAAATAATAAGGAATCCATATTAGAAATAAAAATGGAAAAATCTACATAAATTACATTATTGTTTCAAAAGAATAGTATTAAATTAAACTTAAATAGAATCCATATTAGGAATAAAAATAGAAAATAAGATATATAAATTACTTGTTCTAAAAAAATAAGATTTTCCAACAATCTTGTTGAAATCGATACAGCTTGCCATTGTGTCATCATTGCCATGCGTCTTGCAAAGATTTACACTTAAAAATCGAATTTCACGACGCTGACAAAAACTTGTCAGCTCGATGATGGATGTATCGCGACTGAAGACAGACCTGCAAGATCGCGCCGAACGTGAAAAATAATTCCACTCACGTGGTCTCCGCTACTTTATCTCATCCGAACGTTAGATCCTCCCCAGGATATTATTTTCAGCGACTCTTATCGCGCGTTGAACGAGAGGACAATAATAGCAACAATTCCGCAGACGAGCAGATTATCACGCGTCATTTATCGACGCATAATGTTTTATCCGGCATGTTGGGATTCGGCGAGATTTTTCACCCCGGAAATATCGCCGCCCCCGCGATTTGGATACAAAAGGAGCTCCCAAAGCCCCAAAGCGACATAACCTCAAAGCCACCTCTGTGTATATACGCCGATAAGAATTCCGCTGAGGTCAAGTTTGTTTACCCCGCGCGCGAAGCGTGTGTATTTATAGCTTTTCCTGCTGCGATTCGTTCGGCGGTGCAATGGCATCGCGCGCGCGAGACGAAGAGCGACGTGGAGGGCGGACAGGGGAGGGAGAAGGCGCAGGAGCGAGGGGGCGCTTCGCAGGGGAGGGGCGGGAGGATGCGACCGATAAGATACATCTCTTTCCTTCTCCCTTTTTTTTTTTCTCTCCCCCGAGGCGTCGGTGTCGAGACTCACGAGACTTCGTCCCGATATCGTTTAATCTCGTCGAAAATTCGAGGAAAATTCTCCGCATCATCGGACTGAGCCCTTGTCATCGTCGCGCGTCACTAGATTTATACGTACACGGATACATCCTTCGATATCGCGAACGGAAGGGAGAGCGAGAAACCGGTAGCGAGGGAGACGGAAGTACGTATATATACGTTGGCGGGGGCGAAGAACGAAAACAAGGGAGGAGAGAAAAAAAAGAGGAGAGCAAAATTCGCGTTCGGAATCGCCAGCGGCCCGTGTTCGACGATCGTGTCTCTCCACCGGGAAGAACGTGCTCACGTCTCCATCGACGAGTCTCGATGGAGACGAGAGGGGGCGAAGGCGGCCGCCACTTGTGCGAACATCGCTACAATGTCGTCGACGGAGCAAACAAACAATACGCTTCGTGTCCGATGTCGCCGAGGCACAATTCCCTTCCGTCCTTCTCCTCTCTCCCTCCTCGTCCGCGCCTCAAGCGCGATGAAGCGCGCCTCGGATTAAAGGTGCGTTAAAGCCGACTTACGAGAGATAGTTTCCACTGACACGCTCCTTCCGCTCCGGCGTGACGACGACGACGACGACGCACGATTTACAGCATTTTACTCGCTGTCCGATGTCGGGAGAAACATCTATCCACCATGCGGCGTGGTGGGACTACGTGATCACACTGTTCCGCCGTCCGCTCGGGCTTGCTCGCGGCAGTCGCGGCGTCAACGGATCCGGGGATTGGTCGTCGGGTCGAGCGCGACAGCCAATCAGGGCGCGTCCGCGGGCGCGGTTCGTTTGTCTCGTGAGTGCGTCGACCGCCCGCGGCGTGTAACGCGAGCTTGCCCGAGTTGTTTACCATCCGTTCCTTAGTATAGCGTATTCACAATTGTAATATGAATTCGTCTTGAGGAAGGAAAGGGAGACGCATTGGAGAGATATTTTTATCTTCCAATTTTGAAGAGCACATTATGAAATGTATGCGACAATATATCTGAAAAAATAATTTCTCGAGAATAAAATTTGTATAAGATAAAGAAAAAAATAAAATTATATAATTAATAAATTCATTATATTTTAGATGTAATTTATATTAGGTATAAATTCCTCATTTTTTTATGTATAATAAGGCCGATATTACATTTGTCGTACGATAAATTTTTTAAGCATATTGATTGGCTACGGGATAATAATTTTTTGAATCTTTAGAAACTCTCCCGCAGCCAATCAACGTGCTTAAAAAAATTTGTCGTACGACAAATGTAATATTAGGCTAATTCATCATTCTTTATATAATAAATTCATCATTTTTTATGTATGTCATTTTAAGTAATAAATTCATCTGATACGCAATTCAGTTTTCTTATTTAAGAAGCATAGTATAAGATGATAAATCTTTGTTTCTTGTGCAACATAATTCGATAAGGATAGATTAAAGTTTAGCTTTCTCAATAAATCTTGATAAAGTCATAAGCGCGATAAGAAAATTGACAGGAGCATATAATCATGTTGAAAACATGATAACACGATAATCAGCTGATTGTTAATTTAAAAAATGCGACATTGTGTCGAAAAGAATTTGTTGTTAAAATAATATTTCGTATATTTTCTTATCATACGTGATCATCAGTGATTTTCTTATTAAGATTTTTTAAAGAAATTAGGGTCCAATTTTTGTTATTTTTTATGCATATAATTATTATCTATCTTCTTACAGAACAGAACATAATTCTATAATACATATATGTATACTATAGTTTCTATCAGTATCATACATTTATCATCAAAAGTAAACAATTCTTGTTTTCTTTACATTGAACGGACCTTTGTTTATTTGGAAAGTATTCAAAGTTTTCAAAAGACGTGACTTTCACGAATCTTACAAAGATTTATGCATATATGTGTGTGATTTCTCAATTTACATATACTTATTTAAAGTAAAATTTTACTTTGGCATTTATCAATAAGGAAACCAATAAGGATTGCGAACATGAATAATTTAAAGTTTTAAATATTACTTATATTTACACGCAATTACATGTGTTGATCTTGATTAACACACAACTTTAAACATCTTGTACATTATTGCTTCTTGAATTCATTGGAACAATACAAATAAAGTAATATAAAAAAAATATATGCTGTTCCATTTATATCTATATTGCACTCATTGATACATAATTATTAAATATACTCACACACACATATATATATATATATATATATATATATATGTATATATATATTTTCTTAATTTTCTTAACATACATGTTGTGTGAGTCATTAAATTTGGTTTATTAATGTTGGCTATAAAAAAATGTCAATTTGTTATAAATAATGTTTATTCTTATGTAAATTTAGCAATTTTGAATAAAATATACAAGATGTAGACTCAATAAAAAAACATAAATAAGTATAGACTCTGTGAAACATCTTATAAAATAGGAACCATATTTACACAAAAAAGTTGATTGACATCTTATCACATTAATTAATTAGTATCATCAATATTTACTTGAACAAGTTGGATACTAATCAAAAGTCTCTTCTAAATTGAAATTAAAATTAAAATCAAACAATTTGAAAATTAGCAATAACTTATGTACGAACTACATTGGTTAATCTTTAACATACACACTACTCAGTTAAATATTAAACACTCTCGTTCAGCCCATCACTCTCTGTGACAAGAGCTCGTTCCAGTATAACACGACCTTCCTTATATCGTTGCTGTTCATCTGTTGCAAATTCATATACCCATCCGAGTTTAGCGTCACAATTTTTGCAGCTGACATCTCGAACCATGTGTCTACCTGTCAGCATCACTCTATCCTGCACTTCACTATATTATAATCAGAATATAATATATGATATCATAGAATTAAGAGAAGTGTAGATACTCTATGAATATAAAAATTGATATTCACATTTTTTAAACTGTATCACTGTTACATATTTTCAATCTAATTTGAATATCTTTTATGATGGAATAAGAAAAAACATGCAATTTATAACAAAATATGTCAGTGTCAGAAAATTGAGCGTGAGTCCAATGCATATTACTTTTAAAAAACTATCACTTCATTTTTCAAATTTTATTTCGCAAGAATAATTGTATACAAGCGAAAATAAAAAAAACATACCTATAATTTAGATTGACGACTTTGTTAAAGAGAAAAGCACGTCCTGTGGCACCCGTGAAGCGTGTGCTTACGAGCTGTGACCTGTTGGTGAGATTGGTATCACAGGAAGCGCAGGAAAACAGACGATTGCCACCGATATGCTCTAGAAATATTACTCCCATCTTGGAAAGCAACTTGAATAACGTATCGAAATCAATCGACAATTGGCAGTGTTTATTTAACGGATTAATACAAATCTCGCGTTGCAGAAAACAAAAGTCATCCAACGTTCAATGTTACCATATCTATTGTCTTGAAATCCGTGTATACATACATCAAGAATAGCAGGTGTATACTAACATTTGAAGCAGGAGTGGGAAATGTTTTCACGATACGTCATAGATTACTGAAATATATGTAGAGTGGAAACTCTTAGTGCAAGATGGAAGCGGAAACAGAGAGAGAGAAACATATAAATCGAAAGTCAAAACTACTTCTATTTGTGATACATCTGTATTTAATATATATATATCTATAAAAAATTAAATATATAAAATTTATACACGCACATACGTTTATAAGATAATATGTAAGATTAAATTAATCAAATCAAAAACAATTTAAAAATTTTTCAACTAATGGCCATGATGTTTGAATAATTAGACATGATACGCTGCAATATTTAAATGCGATCTAAAAGTACCTATTATTTTAGTTAGAAATTTTGGTTCTATCAGAGAGAAGACTGAGGCTCGTTCTACAATGAATCGTAAGTCGTAAATTGTAGGCAAATTGACCAATCATGGTTGATTATTTTTGAAATAATCAACCATGATTGGTCAATTTGCCTACGACTTACGACTCATTGTAGAACGGACCTGAGAGATGTCATGGCTCGCTTTTAGGTGATCCCTGGAAGCGATACTCCCTCTGGACATTAAAAACGTGAACATGAATTACAAAGTCAAAGTCCACGAATGTTCTCAGAGGATGTAACATATATGTCTCTCTAATAATATAAATGATATAAATAAAAATATAAATAATTTAATTAATAATAATTTATTATATAAAAATATTAGTATATTCTTTTTTTCCACGTTATTATTTATTTATTTATTTATGTGTCTTCTTTTTCGTCTCAAAATCAGTTAATTAATTTTATTTATTTAGCTCGCTATAAGTTAATCTTTTAAAATGCAAAACTAAATATTATAGAATTTGACTTCAGAAAAAAGCGCGGTAAAATAATCGAATAAATTTAAATAATTAGCTCCGTGATAAATTGTTTAATAAATAATCAATTTTAATCAATAAACTGTTTTATAGTATATAAAATATTTCGACAACAAATTAACAATAACATTATGTTCGATTTTGATAACATAAACAATAGAGATTTATTGTTTGTACGTTAGTACAAAAAGTTTGTACCTTGTAATTTTTTCTCTCTTTCTTCGGGCAAGTCTACATATATGACCAATATGATTAATTGATTCCATCTTTATATATGTATCATTATGTACTATTAATTAAAGCCGTAGACAATATTCAGAAATCAAAGTTGTGCGAACGTTGCGCGCAGGAATGGGCATGCGCAGAAACGAATGCGCACTGGTTCGGCCGCCATGTTGGCGCGTGACTGCTACGTCACTGCTACGTCATACGCGTCATACGTGACTCGGAGTCATACGCAGTTACACGGATCATCGTACATCCGCATTTTTCGCATCTTTTAACCGTTTTTAAACGAATATCGCGAGTGAAAGAGTGTCGAAAGTGTCCAAAAATGATCGCGCGACTTTCATAATATGTCAGTGAAAGTGCACGACAGCCGTTTTCGACAATTCAGTGATAGCGCGATCGCGAAGATGGAGCGAAGTCGCGTCGCGTTATTTGCGCCCTTGATGATGATTATCGGATGCGAGCGAATATCGGGAGTGCCGAATAAAGTGTCGCGCGTTCGCGTTGATGATATCGTGTGAGTTTGTGTGCATCAAGATCGGAATGGGACGTCCCGAGGCGAGCGAATGGAGCAGCCTGTGGAACAGCCGGTGAACGGTGAGTAGATTTGATTTATCATATTTGCGTGACAATTTGTGCTCATTCGACGCTTATACAGCATCGCGATGTCCCGAATTACGTTCGAACAAATCGGTGCCGCATCATAATTCGATATGATGCCGTGCAATTCAAATAAAGTCGATCGTGTGAAGATGGTTAGGCTAGAAGCGATTTCAAATTTATTTTATATACGCGCAGTGCTGCACAGCCTATCTCGTAGGGCTGCCAATTGCTAAACGATAAATTTTTCGATCTAACCTAACTTAACATAACCTAACCTCTCAGTATCTTTGGATGGCTGTGTTCCAAAATTCACTGCCAATACTGAAAATCTATAGTGTACGTCATGTAAACTATAGATTTTCAGTACTGGCAGTGAATTTTGGAACACAGCCGATGTTGAATGTAAATACAAGCGTATGCTACCTGGATTTTATCATGCTTTCAAAAATAATATTGAATTATTTCCTTAGTGTATTACATTTTATCACATAGTATATTAATCGTATTAAATGTGCGACATACAGTTTTACACATTTTAATGAGGAGCATATTATATAATTGGTTAGATTAGATTAAATTAAAACTGCTGTGATTCATTTAACGTAATAGGATTAATTTGACGAATGTGCAGCTATTGAAGTTACATGATATTTGTGGACACATTTTTAAAGTAATCATGAGTGTCTTATCTCATCTCGATTACATGAAATTAAAATATAAAATATTTATGGATTCCACATTAACGTTATTCATTACAAGTACTATATTATTTTTCTTATATCCCAATTGTATTCAACCATTTATTTCATCGATGAAGCTTTTCATATACCGCAGACAATATGATACTGTGTGTGGAATTTTACACAGATAATACGTGGCACAAAAATAATTTGCTCTCAAGCATTGTGAGCATTTCTCAAAAATAATTAAAATAATGATTAATAAAAATCAGAAATTGTGCACATTATACCCTCTGAGAACATTCATGGACATGAGCTTTGTAGTTCATGTCTACGTTTTCAATGTCCATAGAGGGAGGTGATCGCTTTCAGGGATCACCTAAAAGCAGGCCATGACATCTCTCAGTCTTCTCTCTGGTTCTATGCTGTACGTAATTATATAAATATATAAATATATATATATATAAATATATATATGTATATATATATATATAATAAAATACAATACATATAAAATAATTATATGTAAAGTAATTATATAATTATATATATATATATATATATATATATATATATATATATATATATATTTTGTATTTGTACATTACAAAAAAATCTCATGATAAAGTATATCTATAGATATGATAGAGTTTACATTTTTCTTTGTTTATGAAATATATTTTTCATTAATTTATTAAATAAGTTATTTTATATTCTGACATACAATAATTTTATCGTGTAATATATAGTATCAATTTAGAAAATTTCTATAATTTAGTTAATATATGTATATACATATATTTGTATAAATGTATACATGTATATTATCATGATAATTTTTATTTATAAACTTTTTAGAATTGATTCTTATATTATTAAGCATTTTCTATTTTACTAAATGTAATATTTTACTATATATATGTAAGTATAAACTATGAAGAATTAATTATATTTCATGTACATAATTTTCAAAATTCTAAAATTGTTTAATAAAATAAATTTTTGTAATGTACAAATAATATGCATATGCTCTCTATAATTACATATAATAAATAAAAAACATTTAGACATAATAATATTACATTATATTACATCTGATCATGAAAGATGTATATATTTTCCTATATAATAATCAAATAATATTGTTAAAACATATGCAATGTAGAATAAGTTAGCAGCTACAGAAGCAATGATAATAATATGCATATTACATCAAAATATTATATCTTTATTATTCATATAAATGGTATTACAATATGTACACGTATATAGACTTGTGTAAATTACATTTCTTTAAAGCTAGGTACATAGATGTTTTGTGCAGTAAAATTCGAAACACTCTCCCCTGATTTCATTAAATATCCACAATCTTTATACATTGGCAATTAAGCCCGATTGTAAAGTCCTGCACCAGCATAATCGCAAATTGTGGTACAATTGTAAAAGCTAAAATGTGGTCAGAAGAGCGAAACGAATCGAAAATATATTGTTGGTCGGTTATTTAATCACTATATTCCTCATATCTCTTCAAGGCACATTTGAAATATAATCAGTACATTCCTTTGCAAACTACAGAGAACCTATTAATGTCACATGCTTGTTCCTATCATTTTACAAATAGAAAGAGCTCAGAAATTTAATTAATTAAAATTATAGAATTTTCATATATACATGTATAGAAAGAGAAAAAGAGAAAAATATAAAATTTTATATATTTATATATATGTAGATTATATATAAAGGTAGAAGACAACAGAAAAAAGAAAAAAAAATCAATAGAAAAATATAAAAACTTTAGCCAAAATCACAGACAAGTCTCTTACTTTCTCAAACAGAGCACAAAGTCGCCTTCTCGTAATCTTAAAGCTAAATTTATATATGTATAAGATATTATATAATTGATATATATATAAATATTATAAATACACATTCACATATGTAGATAGTCTTATCACTCTATTACATGCATACACGGTTTCACACGTATTTTAGTACAAAGAGATATTCATTTATAATGCATTTGTGTATATATTCGAGAGTTTATACAAATTTAAATTTACACATATAAACACGCGTTTATTCACGTGTATGCATGTATCCATGTATTATAACATGTAAACAATGGTCGCTTATATGTATATATATATATATCCATTATTTTGATTATACCCTTTTGATGTTCAAATTGTGTCGCAAAGGATATTCCACTTTGTATAATACTGCACCTATACCTATGTACACATCATACACCCGTAAAATATGTAATAAAATATAAGATAAAATATATATTTCGTGCCTGTACACATATCAGAAGTGATGATAAGTTCTCTTCAAATATTATAGTTTACAAAAGCGATATGACAAAATTACTAATTCATATAATTATGCCAATTCATGTATATGATTTTATATGAAAGAAAAACGATAAGTTAATGCATAAATTATCAATTTGATAAAAAAAAGCAGAATATGTCCTTACATGTTTGTTGTATGTTTTATTTGTGTAACTCAATTCATCTTCACATAATCATAGACAGTTTTATCTAACCAAATTTATTATTGATATTATCATAATTCGTAAAATTATGAAAATTTTAAAAAATCTAATGAAGAAAGAAAAGCATAAATAAAAATATTATTTTGAATTTAATTATGATAAAATGTTTATTTTGCGTTATAAAAAATATAATCAATTATCATGTACTAAACAATTCAACTATTTTATATACAATTATGAATCACATAAATAAAATCTGTTTTTTTTTTCAAACCATAAATACAAAACAGAACGGAATTAAAAGAGTCGTAATTCTGGACCGAATAAATTATATATAAAAAAAATTTTTCATTTTTCTATCTTTTCAGTACAACAATTAGTTTCAATAAAAAGAATATCTTCCTCATATACCGAATAATGGAATAATCTATAGCAGTCATAATATATATATATATAATATCTGTAATAGTAAAGATTAACAATAAAGATACTAACAATAATCATTATTATCGATACCATAAATATCGTTTATAACAGCACTTGGAAAAGTATGTGTTTCCCAGTAATAGGAAATTACATGGAAAAAATTTAATAAAGTTTTGGTTTTTGTAGTGCATATCTTATATATCATTAATGGGTAACACAATTAAACGTTATTTTTGGTAAGTTTCGTTCTGTTGGCGGCAACTGTTGCAAGACATGCTAAAGCTTCAAGATCTGGAGATGCGCACCAAGCTATTATAAAGTGCAAAATATTAATTATGAAGGATTTTTAAAGGATTTATATAAATTATAAATAAAATTAAATTGTGCAATAATTTTTTTTGCCTATAGTTTTAAAAATTTTTAAAGAAATATTTATATATATATATATATATATATATATATATATATTTTATACATATATATATTTTATATATATATTAAATTTTTCAAATTTATAAAAATTGATCAAAAAATTAGTATTATATATAAAATAAATAAAAATATATTAATATTATTTTCAATTAAAAATTAAAAGAAATTAAAGAAGTTAAAGAAAAAAATTTAAAGAAATTCTATATAACTTACATTTATTTGATTCTTGATCTTCAGAATGTTTGGTGGAGTTTATTGCCGCAGCATTCCGCGTGATAGTTTGCTTTCGAGCTTTTCGTTTCTGACTTCCAACAAGAGTTTTCTCTGAATCTTCGCAACTTTCATTTATTGTACTCGCTTTTTGAGTTTGACCATTCATTTGATCACTAGAAGACAAATTATTTTGATGTCTTTTGTTTGTTGATGAATTAAATTTTTGCAGAATTTTCTTTTTTTTCGTTCGTTGCTGTTTCTTCTTTTCTTGAAACTCCTCTAAACTCAAAGACGGTAATGCCTCAATTTTCTTTTCCAAATTGAAATCCCTATAAATATATTTATTATATATTATATAGTATATATATGTATATTTAAATAATTTTATTATAGAAATATATACACACACACACACACATACATACATATATATATATATATATATATATATATATTTCTATAATAAAATTATTTGAATAGGAATGTACATAAATTCTTTCAAAGGACATACTCGGCACGAAATCTTTTACGTGCTGTCCAAGGTCCGTAATCCACTTGATCTTCGGCTCCTTCAGTTTCTGTATCTTCAGGTTTAGAAGCTTCCATTTTTCCTTCAGCACTGAATAAATTTTTAAATTATTTTCATATGCAGATATATAGCTTCGAAAAATCTGAGAAAAAATGTTACCTCTCCACAAGATGTTCTAGCTCCCCTCGAGAGCTATTTCCTCCCTCACTACTTAAGGAATCTGTCTTTTCACTGACATTTGAAGAAATGGAATTTCTTCTTTCGTTTGAACGTTCATCAGGTCTAAATCAATAAAGGAGATATATCTTTTTATTAAGTTATTTTATCAATGAAATTAGATTACTATCACTATGTTAAAATTTTGATTATCTACCCATTGCTTCCAGCTGTTCGTTTCCGTTTGCTTTGTTGGCCAGATGGGCCGATATTTTTCATCTGCTCGGCAAGAAATTTCTGATAACGTAAACCTTTACATGTTCTTTCGCTACGAAAATTATTTTCCTCTGATTGCGTCTGTGTTGTTACAAAGGAATTTATTGCATGTTTTTCATCTTCCATGATCTAAAATAAGAATAAAATAAGGATTTCAATTAATTATACTAGAAAATTGAATAGTACTGCATTATGTAAAATTTGAAAGATTATTTGTGAAAAATTTGAATCTATATATTCATAAGAAGATTAAATCTCACCATTTCATGTTGTTCGTTGTTATTTGATTCAGCTCTTTTTCTCTTTTTGTCACCAAAAAGATCTGCCTTGCAATCTCTTTTCTGATCACCTTGGAAAGGCAATTCTGTATATCTTTTTTTTGGTGGTTTTGGAACAGTGTCGTTTTCTATCATGACATCATTAATTGTTGTCTGTTCTTCAGATGGCTCTATCTTCTGAGGAGTAAAGAGAGAACTGAGTCCACCAATCTGTGATTCGTCTGCTAATTTGCCTGGTTGAATTGATTGTCCATCCCGTCTGTCTGACTTTGTACAATCGGAAGACTCATATTCAGATTTGACACTATCTATAAATTGCATGCCACTATTGGACTCTTGTTTCTTGTTGGTAGGCCTAGTATTTAAAGTACGTAACGGAGGTGCTGGTAATTTGTACCATTTAAAGTCAGGGTTCGCATTTAAAAATGCATCCTTGTACTGAAAAAATAATTAAGCTATATGTATATGTATATTTTTCTTACATAATAAATTTACTAACAATATGAAAGTTTAGAGAATAAAATAATATCTCACTTCTGATAATGAAAACTTTTTTCAATATGCAAAATTAAATTTTGATTAATTTTTTAACAATTTTTAATTTTTACAATTGCACTTACCTCCTGTGCAAGATTTGTATAGGAACGCTTCTGATCAGGATGAAGGGTTGCCCACCATTCACCCAAGACCCTAGTGACTGCTCTATTTTCTAAATGTGGAAAACCAGATCGCACTGAGCCACGATGCCTTTTGCAAAAAATCAGAAATGCATTCATGGGACGTCTTGCATGATGGGCTGGTTCCCTTTCACGTGATTCCTATTAATTTACATACAATAATCTTATATATAACAAATTAATTACATTACAATTAATAAATATAGCAAACAGACAAAATATAATAAATCTTTTTTATTCTATTTTTTTTCCAAATGGGTGTGGTTCATGAGCACATTTAATACATGGATAAACTTTATAGTATGAGAATATTTATTTATAATAAATTTATAAGAACATCTTTTAATAAACTCTTATTTTTACTTGGTTCTCTAGGTTCAATCAATGTTAATATTTATTCTATATTTAGAATAAAGACTACAAAATAAAAAAAAAGTCTATATTATTTTAAGAATTATTATAAAGAATTTAAGAATATTACAGAAACTAAGAAGTCTGGCTTTAAAACTTTGATTTATTTTTTTCAAACTGCCATTAATATTTACGTCATAAATAAATTTTCTAATTTATATTGATCAGCAACTTCTACAACATGAATCTTTAATCAATTATTTACATATTCAAATAACAGGATATATTCTAGGCAATATGTTTTATAAGCGTAGATAAACAACAAAAATTAATGTCTCTCTTTCTTTCTCTTCCCTGTATTAGGAAATATCCGTGGTATCATCAAGTTTTACATCATAGCCATAAGTAGCCATGTTGCTATATTGGTGAAACCTTAATGTGAAACAGCTTTTCATTACTCGACTCGTACATATCGCCTGCTTATACTTTTATGCTCGATATTGATCTTAGGAGATTTAGCTGATCGATTCGGCCGATGAGAGAAAACGTAATCGAGAATGCAAAAAACGCACACGTTCACGGTCGCGCGACGAAAATAATTGAGAAAGTTCTCTACGCGCACGAAAGAAAAACTAGTCCTGGGCGCACAAAATGGATCATGCATAATTGCAACATATGTCTCAACGCGGATAACGAAGAGTGTCTGCGAACGGACAGGGGAAACGTCATTCCATGTTCCGTCCGCGGATTATTCGATCGAAGGAATCCGCGTGACTCCTCTCGCGTTCGCGAGTCCTTTCGTGCAAAATCACGCGATGACACGATGTTTTGTGACAGGGACAGACATTCCGTTCACGACGATGTAGCGTGCGACAATTAACGCTCGACGAAACGCGAACGGCGATCGTTCTCCGCCGTGCGATCGATTCGACGTAGTAAACTCAAAAAAACATTAACGCTTATCAAGACAAGATACAAGACGCGATATATATATATGTACGGAGGCTTTTCTCGTTTATCAAACGGAACTTCCGCGAAACAAAAGAGATTCCATGGCAGGCGGAAAGTGAATTAACTCGCGTGATTCTCGATCGATGCGTGCCTTCTCTCTTTCTCTCTCGAAACCGATGTTCTTTATCGTCCAATTTCCGACGAAGCAACGAGAAATAATTTCGATGACGAGACCTGTCACATATGTTACGTCAAACAAAATCGCTCGCAAACTCCAGAATATTCTCAGAAAAGAACTTTCTTTGTGTCAGCTTTTTCACACGAGAAATAAAGAAGTAGACAAAAGGGAGGAAGGAAGATAGAGGCGAACCCGTTCGACGAGAGCTGTCATGTTGCGGTTTATGTCGAACGCTACATTGTATGTAACATTGCTACACAAACAGCGCTGCTTTGATTGCACCGTCAGAAAAATTCACGGGGTGTCCTCGTGAACGAGCGCGGATAAGAAAATTCGAGGAAAATTCCAAAGAAAATTGAAAGAAAAATATGTAGCGAGGATTCTTCCCGTCGCGGAAATCCGAGCTTATCCGAAATACAGACACTCACATCGTCATCGTGATCGTCGCACATCTTTGTGCCGTCACACCAACAACGTCGCGCACTGACAGCTGCTCGGCTGACCGAGGTAAATACAGACGACCGACTGCGCGATCTTTGAATGAAGACGAGCGATTATCCGGGAATGCGGCGCGCGCGGGGGACGTCCGTGCTTCGCGTTATCCCGGGGATCGTGCGCCGTCTACGAATCACGCACTCGTCCCTATCTCTCCTCGTCAATATCGCGCACGACGTACATACATATGTATAGACGCGAGACAAGAGGTAATCGACGGATCAACCGTGACTTTTGACACAAAAGCGAGGCGCCGTTTACGCGCGTATCGTCCCGTGGAAACGACAAGGTGCGATCGCGCGATACCTCGTCGTCCCGGCGTCGTCAGCGATATTTTTCCGCGACGTCTCCGCCGGCGAAAAGGATCCGCGCCGTCCTCGTCCGGCGCTCACTCACCTTACGTTGTTGCTCGTTGGCAGCCATTTCTGATTTCACTTGACAATTCACTCAGCGGCGCATAATGCGGACAACAACAAGACACAGATAAAGCTTGTGCTCCGTGCACTGCCGTTCGTGTTCCTCGCTCACTGACTCGCTCGTTTCGCTCTCTCCCTCTCGCCTCCCCCGTCTCCTTCTCACGTCTGCGTGCTCTGCACCCTCCCTCCCCGCACGCTGCTCTTGTCTTACTCCCTGACGTTCGACACGTTCGCTCGCGCATTCACGTGAGAAAAAATTCTCGCTAGGATACGACGTGTTACGTTCGTTCTCTCATTTCACTTTTTACTCGGATATCTCTCTCGTTGTTAACTTCCTGTAACGTTTCAAAACAGGCAACGGAAAACGCTCGCCAACGAGAAATGTCACGCGCACTCACGAATCGCAATCGCTGCGCAAACTCTGATTCTTCGTCGACGAGCTTTTCAATGAAACGTCACGCGATCGCTGACGTTACAGCTGCACTTAGTTACCACCGGTTTACACGTACATCTTCGTATGCGTGCAGAATAGAAGTACGAGCAATTTCGAGTATTTAATCGACATTTCCGGAATGCATCGGGAATGGAAACTCTTTGAATTGTCGCGCGCCGCAGACGCGATGCGTTCGTCGCGAAGCGCATGCGCCATCAAAGTTCCTAGGTCGCGTGCGCGCGGCGCACGTCACAACAGCTGATTGCCGTGAGGCGTCGACGCAACAGCTGTCGTACGGATGATTGTCAAATTTAGAGCCGTACGTTTAGTTTCTCCCTCCCTCGGTAAATTTAGTCGGAGGCAATGAGTAAGCGGCTGAATCACTCTTTTCGGATATCTTGAAAGAGAAAAATCAGATGCACACAAACAAAATAGAATGAGATATGTAATAAAATTGTAGGTATTATCTCTTTCCCTATTCTTCTCCATCATATGCATGTGTAATATCTTATTGTTGATATAAACATAGTATGCGAAAATCTCAACTTTTGATCATAAGAAATTTAATAGATAAGTTCAGTTATTATCACTTTAAGCTAACAGCAGATCGATAATCTCAGAATGACATATATATATATATATATATATATATATATATATATATATATATATATATACGCATAATATACTTATATATTATATGGCAGCACGTGTCTCTTTATTATTAAAGATAAAGAGCAAGGTTCGAGATTGACCATGGAGGTCTACCATCGTCGTTAAACTTGCTGACTATTGAGAACGTAATATTTAAAATTAGATTAAGTTAAATATATCGTTCACACAAGTACAGCTGGAACATCATATTTTTGTATGGTTAATACAAATCAATAATGATAATAACGATAATAACGAGATAATTTACAACAGTTAGTATGTTCTTTTTTAAACCTTATCGTTTAATTCTTGCGTTATATGAAATTAGTATATGTACTCTGTCATATAATTATTTTTTTCATAGTATAAAAATAATCAAATCAAAAACTTCTATTTGAATGATTTTCATTAATATACACATAATTCGGATAACATAAATAAAAATCAATACGAGATTGAAAAGTTTCCTTTAACAATTATATAAATAAAATGTTCATGTTTCATGCATTATTTATATGCGTCCGTAAATAAGATTCCAATTTTTATGCTTTATGCATTATTCATATGCATTATAGCTATGAATAATAATAATAATGGCACGTAAATTTTCTTCTTTGTAGTGCGCTGTAAATTCCTCTATATATGTTTACATTCCGTTTACCATGTGTGTGTAGACAAACTACATGGTAAACATTTAAACCTATATCCAATCATGCTCATACAATTACGCTCGTCGAACCTCGCTCGTGATAAATGCAACGCATATTACACACACACACACACACACACACACACACATATATATAATATTTTTAAATATATGAACAGTATATATATATACTGTTCATAATATTTGCTGAATATATTTTTTAGATTAGCTGAAAGAGTTATATATACATATTACGTAACTCTTCCAGCTAATCTAAGAAATAAAACATAACAAATATAAATATAAATAGTTGGAAAAAAGAATATTTTTTCAATCGGAAAAAATATCAATATTTAACATATTCATAAAAATATTTTAATATACATATGTATTTCTCTTTTTTTTCGTAACTTTTAACATCGGAAAAAAATTTCTGCAAAATTTTCAGTCGGTAAGTGATAATTAAAATGAGAATTACTGATAATCAGTAAAGTAGAAATTATATCGATAATCGGTAAAGTGATTATTTTTCTCATCGACTATTCTCTGAATCTTGTCACGTTTGAATAATCCGTTGTTGCACGTGGCGCCGCTTGTGGAGAAACTAGACATTACCGTAATTCAATTTCGGCTTTTCGCGCGAGTCAGACGGATTGATTGTTGCGGTTTACAACGTACAGATAAGCTAGCCTCATAAATCAGCATTTCGTTTCGATATCCTGCCTATTCGCCTATGCGAATTTACATCCGGATTGAAATAAGGTATGCGCAATTCCGAGAATAGAGATTTACTTTCCGCACGCACAGAAAAATCGCGTGCTTTTTCTTCGAGATGCGTTATATTCGAATAGCTACTTTTCTTTAGAAATTCTGCAAATCTTGCCATCGTCGTTATATTATAATTCGTTATATTATAATTATATTATAATCGTTATTATAATTCGTTCACATTATTTCACGAATATTTTAGAAGCTCAGGTCGATTTCGTAAACATTTTCTAAGTCTATTTAATATCACTTATTACATGTTAGAAAACGTATTATAAAATTAACATATACTATCTAGAACAAAATCGAGAACAAAAGTAAAGTTTTGTCAAGAAAGACATAATGAAATGCACAAAATATAATTTAAATATAATTGATTAGAAATGCTTTTTACAGATTATGCAGAATCGTGATGATTGATCTAGTGGAATCATGGCGTTCAGTATAGCGGAATCATGGCGTTCAGTATAGCAGAATCATGCCATTCAATATAGTGGAATCATGGATGATCTGCATAGGAAGTTGAACCGGAAGGATTCCAGTGGTATGTTAAGTCATATCAAATTAATTGATACTGAATTGTATATGTATAGAATCATTAATGCTTCTTAATCTATGCATATATTGAAATATACATGCATATATTGAAATATATATGCATTTTTCTTATTAATTAATTATTTAATTAAATATTATTATATTTGAATGTATTATACGTTTAAGTTATATATATTTAAATGATTCTTATACATATACACCTGTACATATAATATAAAAGTATAAGATTAAATCTATGAATTTGAAATATTACTGTATCTGAAACATTTTTTCGAGTTTCTTTACTTTTTTATATTTGCAATGATTTCTTCCAATTCTTTTTGAAGAAGAAGAAATACAATTTTGGAGAAAATCCAGGAAATATTTTTTAATTTATAATTATTTATAATTATTTATTATTTACTACTATTATTAGTATATTATTATATATACTTATTATGAATACTTTTATATTATTATTTTTTTTATTATTATTTATTATTTTAGTCATTATTATTTTGTCAGGTATCATATAAATTATTAAGATATAAATTTTTATGATATTGCACATTGAGTAATATTGCGTCTGTTATTTAAAATAGATATCTTTAGACTTCTTTCGCAATCCAAATCAAACACGCGTCACTTTTCGGATCTTTCCCGAAATAGCATAAAGAAGTTTAATTTACGTGTTCGTCTTTTGCGCCTTTCCCTTTTTCCCGATTTCAGTACGATGTAAACTCATATAAAAGTCAATCTCGCCAGTCGTTGTTTCATAGTGATCGTCTCTGTGATCTGCATGCTTTTGATCCTGTTGGATGATATTTCAGCCTTTCAAATTTTTTAAACCAAGATCCTCTACTTTTTATAGAATTTCCTTAAATCCACTCAAAGATTCACTCATAGTATAATCCTCGCGTTATTTCATAATATTTTTTTACGTGAAAGTGAATTTTGATTATAGGACTATTT